AACTATTAATATCTTACTGCAGCAATTCAAACAAGTCAGTATTTATAATGTTATAAGCGGGTGAATTTTCAACCCATATATAAACACCTGCAAGAAAAATATCCATGTCTAGGCCAAAAAAGTTTTTATCAAGTTTTACCCAAATAATAGCATCATGGTATGTTTTAACAACAGAAATGCCCTTTTGTAAACTCTCTTTTATATAGACAACAATTCCACCGCTGCAGCGCTTTGATTTTTTGTGTTGAAATTTTCTAAAACAGTTTAAACAAGTATAACCATTTATATTGCTTTTTGTGTGCTCGTTGGCCCAAGACTCCTACAAGAAAATTATGTCATAGTTACAAATATATTTTACAAAGTCAATGTCCCCGATTTTATGTGTTGACAGACCATTAATGTTCCATGAGAGCACCTTGACTTCAGCCTCCGATATTTCCTAGTATGCAGACGGATTATCTGTGCAAGTACTTCCGGTTCCGCTTTGGACAGACTCGGTTAAGCGGACCTGCTTCCCATCTATAAATAGCTTATCGTAGCTGAACCAGGCCTTTTTATCGGCAGCACGTGCTTCGCGAAGCTTTGGTAATAGTGCCTTTCGTCGGTCTGCTACCTCCTTAGGAAATTGCTCGTTAATGTAATATCGAGTTTTTTTCAATGCTGGGCTTGCGCGTCTAATCATTTCGCGATCTTTAAAGTAGGTAAATTTTGCCACTATATTCCGAAATCTTTGTACTCTTACACCAGGATGATTAAAAGACCTTTCTCCCATGAGATGCACTCGCTCAAATTTTAATGAATCGACCAGGTCTTGTGCCAATTTCATTTCTTTCGTTAAGAACGTACGTAGAATTGCTTCCGTTTGCTCGGGTTTTTCATCAGCATCTTCTTCTATCCCAGAAAAAACGAGATTGTTCCTCATAGTTTGTGCCTGGACATAATTAACAGTACTTTGCAAGCTCATTTTATCATTTTGTAATTGTGAAATTTGACTATTAGCCTGTGCCAGTGCCATCTCAAGGTTATCCATCTTATCCGTAATTTTGTTTGTTTTCTCAATATTTGAAACATTGCTATCTTGCACATAATTCCAGACTTTCACTAGTTCAGTCTCAACATTACCGACCTTTTCTTCCAGAACATCAAGTTTACTCAACCTTTGGTCCATTTGGGTTATTTTTTTATTCATATTTCTGAGGAAGTCCATGATGTCTGAATTTGAAGGGCATGGGTCATTTTTGCTCGTTTCGGGTGTTGCACTTTTATGCTCAAAAACGGAATTATCAAGATTATTCATTTCTGCAATGGAATCATTAAACAAAACAGAGTTTGCACCTCTTATTACGTCACTAACGCTGTCATTTATGCTTGAACCACTGCCACCGCTGCCACCGCTGCTTCCGGTCGAGCGTTGAGCCGGAAATTTTGATTTAGCTTTTGGTTTTTTGCCACTGTTACCACTGTGTTTACGTTTACCCATAGATTTTAGTTAATATGTAGAATACTATATAAATTGTTCAGTTACCGATATAAAGATTAATCCTTGAACTAACATTCACTTATTTGTTCGTGCTTTAAAAATCCTTTGTTCTCAATGAAGAAAAGTTATTTTCGCAAAGTTTACCTTATATTGACAAAATATTCCAATAACACTTTAATATATTTATCCTCCATTATTTATATTCCCTTTTCAATCACAAAAAACACAAATATTGTCAATAAACACTTAGAAAACGGATTTTTTATCACGATCAAATTTATTTGCGTTCACCGCCATTTAATCACGTGATCGGGTCTACGAAAATAAGATTTATTCTTATTATAATGCATTAATTAAAAATGTATTTTTGTTATTATTAAATTATTTGTATGAATGAAATAATAAAGACTGAAATGTTTTGTAATGAAATATTAAACGTTTGTTCGGTAAATATGGTAAATATCCCAAATAGTATAGAAAGAAGGCATGCGAAAATAACCCAAGATGGCGACTACGAAAATAAGATCATAACTTATAAAATTGTATTAATTGCAGAAATAAAATCTCCTCTTATAAAACAAGAAAATGTAGTGGGGTGAAAAAGCATCAAAATAAAAGCAAGAATTAACTAGCGCGAAGAAAAAAAACCCAGAAACAAAGACTACTGTCTACTGTATATAGAATATATGTACGAAAATAAAATCTATACAGTACTCTACGAAAATAAGATCTGAAAGTATGAAAATTATGTAAATACGAAAATAAGGTTATACGAAAACAAGATCTCTTAGTAAATAATACCTGTATGAAAATAATATATGTATGAAAATACTTATACTTGCACGAAAATAGGATCCAATTGAAAATCATGATGATCTATACGAAAATAAGATCTGTAAACAATTAAAACCCTTATGAATTGATATTTGTACGAAAACAAGATCTAATTGAAAATATGATTTTTGCCAAAATAAGATATATATACGAAAATGAGCTATATTAAAAATACCTTCATGAAAATACTATCTGTGCGAAAATAAGATCCTATTGAAAATGTGATCTATACGAAAATAAGATCTATAAAAAAATTACTGTATGAATTGATATATCTGCACGAAAATAAGATCTCTGCAAACATAAAATCTGTATGAAAAATAATGTTTTCAAACTATTAAAATTTTTACAAATATTTTATAAGGTCTGTGAATATGAAATACGAAAAATGATACAAATGTATGTGTATGAACATAATATCTGTTTCAGAATGATACGAAAAAATGATCAAAATCTGTAAATAATAGGATATCTAGCTATATGAAAATAAAATATCAATATGGAAATGATTTATACCAAAATAAAAGATAATTAAAAAATACGTGTAATATAAAAATAATATCTATATTTAGTAAAAGATCAGTATATAGCTTTGTTGCTTTAGTGCTTTAATAAGATAATGCACGGACAAGATGAGAAGGAAAAATTATACAACGTATGACACGTGCACATGGCTGTCGGCAGCAATCAATGCGCTAATACGATGATTGGATTATTGGATTTTCGCATACGATCTTATTAATGCCCATCATTAAAGGTGTTTATTGGCGATTTATCACAGTCACCAATCATATCAAAATATAGATGTCTTAATTTTTTTACAGATTTTGTTATCATACAGATATATTTTTACACAGATCTTATTTTAGTTCAAGATTTTATTTTATAAAGACATTATATTCATATAGAGTCGTTTTTCATGTAATTCTGATCCAGAATATTATCATATAAATATTATTTTCGTGTAAATCATAAAAAAAATCTTATTCCTATACAGTCATTATTTCCGTACAGATCTTATTTTCGTACCTGTAGATATTTTTATGTATCTTATTTTTGTAAGGATATTATTTTCATTTCACAGATCTTACATCTTTAAAAATCTTAGTCGAATACAAACATTATTTTCATACAAATCTTATTTTCGTATAGATTTATTTTCAATATGATCTTATTTTCGTAAATATAGTATTTCCATACAGGTTTTATATTCAAATAAATATCAATTCATACAGGCTTTAATTGGTTTTACAGACCTTATTTACTAATAGATCTTATTTTCGTAACCTTATTTTCGTATTAACATTATTTTCATACAGCTTTTGTTTCCTTACAGATCTTATTTTCGTAGAGTACTGTTTAGATTTTATTTTCGTATGGTACATATTCTTATATAGATTTAGATCTTATTTTCGTAGTCGTTGTTTCAGGTTATTTTTGCACTTGTTTTTTCTAATATTTTGATACTTTTTTTCACCACAAACATTTCTTATCTTATAAGAGAACATTTAATTCTTAAAATTTATTTGCAAAATCATTAAAAATAAAGTTAATACTATTTTTAATATAAGTTATGAACCATGTAAATCTTATATAGCCTATATTTTCGTAGACGCAATTATGGTTATATGTTCATGCGTTTTTCTATACTAAATTTGGAATATTTACGTACGGATTTATATGTATTTACCATGTTTGCCGCACAGACGTCTAATATTTCATTACAAAACATTTCATTCTTTATTATTTCATTCATACAAATCATTTGATAACACAAAAAAAAATACGTTTTAATACATTATATCAAAGATAAATCTTATTATTGTAGACCTGATCTTATTTTCGCTTTACACGGCAATTTGAGCTATTTTCATACGATGGTATTTTGGGCTCAAACTTCACATTTTATAATATTTTTTTTTGTTTCTGAAATTTATTATTTCATTCATACTAATCAATTATTAACAACAAAAAATACGTTTTTAATACATTATATCAAATATAAATCTTATTTTCGAAGACCCGATCTTATTTTCGCTTTACACGGCAATTTGAGCTATTTTCGTACGATAGTATTTTCGGCTCAAACTTCACTTTTTTAAATATTTTTTTTGGTTCTGAAATTTAATTTGCTGTAAAATCATTCAATGAATGCATAAATATATATTTTACATAATTATTTCAACAGATAAATGCACTATTTCAAAAATAAATCTTATTTTCGTAGCCGCGATCTTATTTTCGCGAAAATAGCTTATTTTCGGTATCCATCTATACCCATTAAACGTTTACAGCATTTGTAATAATAAAATATGTAATGTAGTAAGAAATAAATTCTTATATTTTACTCTTAGATTAAACTTTTGTTACAATAATCAGAAAATATTTTGCCTAGTACCACACTCAACGTATTTATTCCACAAACACATACATTGTAAACAAAGATTATAATATAAAATGAAGTCCAAATAATGTTAACCCTTTTATGTAATCTTATTTAGTTATATAAAAATTATATCATATCAGTCAAGTTTGGTCGTAACAAAATACATTTGTTATATTTAAAAAGTCGAATACGAATTAAACTGCATAATGGTTGAAATCGAAAGAAGAAAATGCCATACATATTTCGATGACAAATTAAACTACTATCTAGAACATATATTATGTTTACTGTAACACTTACTTGATCTAGGCAGCTAACGATTGATGCAGCAATATGTATATATTCCCTTCATTACAATCGCCAGAATTTACATAACCATTTTTTCGGACATTTTTGTTAGTACTTCTATGAAATATAAAGCATATTATACTTCCTGGTTTGTCTATTTAAAGATTGTAACTTCATGTACATGAATAATCTATCTTATCTGCTACCCTATTTGATTTAATAAAAATTTATAAGTAGAGGTCATTGTTTAAATACATTTCAAATGAGATATTTTGATAAAGCAATTAATCAATTAAACATTCATAATTTAGTACAGAAATATGTCAAGTAGATCGATACGTTTTTGTATAAATTGTCGTTAACTCTAAATGATATTTGATAATCTGTGGTATTCATAGATCAAACTGAATGTATGACATGCTATAATATTAACGTTGCGCCAACACAATATAGGTCATATGGCGACTTTCCAGCTTTAATGTTGGAGGAAGACCGAAATGCCGAAAGTTGATTGAGTACTTAAAAGTGACCATATATGCAGGATCAACAAACGGCACCAGCTTTTACAGAATATCTTTACAAATATTCTACATCCTTGAGCTAAATGTCTGAAGTTAAATATCTTAATGTCAAGTAGATGGTGATTCAAAACATCTCGGTGTTATTGAAGAAAAGAAAGCAACGGAGCCAATTTATTATCATGGCGTTGTAGCAAGTAAAGTTGTCTTGAACAAGTTATTTCTAGAATTTTGCGATAGTGGACAAACGTACTTACGTAGCGCTTATTGTTGTGTTGGCTACACTAAGTTGTGCTGGTTGCAGAAAGTTGTGATGGCTAAACAAAGTTTACCGAAAGTTGTGTTGGCTACACCAAGTGGTATTGGCTACAGAAAGTTGTGATGGCTACTTTAATTTGTGTTAAAGTGAGAGATACATCATAGAGTCAAACGTGCATTAAGCGACCGCGCAAGGGAAACACCCAAAACGGTCCTTTAATGAAACGGTCTCTTGAGACAAAGAAAGGGAACCCGACACAGTGTTGGGATAGTGTAAAAAGTGATTTTAGAAAAAAATATATACAGTTTATATAGTCTATATATTATATATAAACTATATATACATTTTTTTCTGGAATTACTTTTTTTACACTATCCCAACTCTGTGCCAGGTCCCTTTGAGAAAAAGCATGATATAAAAGTCAAAATTTAATTTAAATCTTTCTTTTGCGATGGGAATGTTTTTCAACTTCATTTATATAAATGTTGATAAGTGTGATATCATATGTAAATTTACGTATCAAACTTGTACCTCATGTCAAGTAAAGTTTTTAAATCAAACAATATTCAATTAAATAACAGTCAGTTTAACATAAGCTACATTTTGCATATATAGTTTTTGACCGACATAAAAGACATGTAACGAAAACGATTATTATTGAACATTCGAAATACCAACAATAGGTGTGTGATTTTGGACCCTTTCAGAGCTGAATTTGGCTTTTCGGATTAGTTTATAAATGCAACATTTCTGTTTAATATCGGAGTTCAATAATGTTATACATAGCTTAAAGTGGATGATATTTGCTCTGATAATAATAAAACATATAATTATATAACCGAACGTATCTTATTAATCTGTGTCTGATAGAAGATGTTACATTTAAGTAAATCTTGAATAATATTTATATAAATATATCCAGCATATACAAAACAATATCAAATATCAACATGTACTGCAAATATGAATAATATACAAAAAAAAACTTTAACATAATTTATCACTTATAGATAAATACCACTGATTTTTGAGCTATGCAAAAATATATTTTTTTTTTGACATGAAAATCAAAAAGGTATTTTTGTACATTTAAACTTTGATATTTCGTTACACAAAATGTTACTTCAGCACGAATTTTCTCATTTTCCACAATACTACAATCTACTTCAAGTGAAATAATCTAGAGTTTCAGTCTTATCATTTTCGCCTATTAGCTCTTAGCCTGCTGCCGGGAACATATTCTACTTATATAAGTCCTTTTCCATAACTTAGTTGCCTCCCTTGACGAGTTATCGTTATCTTTCCGAATGCGCACGCTTAGATTTTTTTTTCACTTCCGGGGACGGCAACCATGCTGTCTGCTCATGGTCTGCGCTGTTCGCTATTCAGTCAATGTTTATTTTGATTTTTTAATAATAAATGGATTTGCCCATATTAAAAGATGGATAAGTCCATTCAAGATATTTAGCATGATTAAACCAGGATACTATAGTACTTATATATCGTTCTTTCTGGGAAGACGCTCACCTTTAGCATTTAAATGGCTACACACTCAAACATCAAGGTATCAAAGACCTCTATCGCACCTCGATTGTCACAGTTCGTAATGTTAAGATAATGCTCGAAGGAAAAAGTATTAACTACAATTGCAGATGCACAATATGTCATGTAAACAAACAACACAAAGTAACAACAATTTGCAGCAATATCCTACAATATCGAGACAGCTACTGCAAAAAATCAAAGGTTGCCTTTGTAACCTTTTTCGTTTTTTCATCCTCTCCCTCGACAACGACTTCCGTTCCGCCAAAAATCAGTTTCACAAAGACGCCTCGATCTTTCCCGCCAGAAAGATCCGGAACTTCAACTTCCAGCTGACCTAAATAAGAGCAGTCTACATCCGTGACGTATTGAGGATCTTCCTTTGTAGAGGTGTATAAATCAAATATCAATGTCATTTGATCTGCTTCTAGTGGCGTGTATCTTTGTTTCGATTGCACCTCACCAACAACCAGTTCTTGACCTTTCTTTACATGACAAGCAAACACATCCTTGCATTTAACACGTTTTCCAACTTGAACCTTTTTGTTTTCCGGATGTACACCAGCTTTAAAATCACGATACACTCGGATGCCATATGAACATTTAGCAACACGGGACACTATGGTAATTGGGTTATGTCCAAATATCACAGCTCCCTTTAAAACCACCAAACCAGCTTCTTCAGGTATGATTAATCTTTTGTCTTGAAAATTTGATCTTATAGCTTCTTGTAGCATTGGTGATTCAGAAAAACCACCGACGAGTAAGATTGTATCAACTCCCTGACTTTTCGTATCCTTGAATATCTTCTTGATATGTTTTACAGTATTTTTACACGATTCGTCGTACCACGACTTTACAATTTCCATATCCATTCGAATTTTATCACTCAACCACTTAACTTTATCTTTAAAGTCTGGTATCTCACTTATTCTATCTTTTAACAGCTTGCCCGTGTCTTCTGTATACAAGTCTGTCAAGCGAACTGGGATTTTTATGGTCTCTTTTCCAGTTTTTCCAGCTACTACTCCTCTTTTTTTAGTTTCAAACTCTCGGAGCAGATCGATGTGATCTTCTGCAGCTTCTGTTTTGAATCGCTTATAAGTTTTTTCTCCTACAAAAGCAACAAATCATTCCTTAAAACTTTCAATTTCACGTGTACTCTCGTTTCTCAAGACTTCAAATTTTATGAAACTTTTAGTACAATATATCTTATTATAATGTAAAATATTCTTTCACTTTGTGCAATTAAACATCATTATTAAAGGCTTATATTTAATATGTTAATAGCTTTGTTTAAGATATCCTTTAAAAATCCTCACATACTCTTATAGTGTGGAGGAAAAAGGCGTAACAACGATTCATCGAAAAACAACATTCAAAGAATATATCAAACATGTTGATATGACAGGTACAATGCGTGTAAGACATTGTTTTGGTATCGGGCGGAATAACATCACCATTTATATAACTTTTGAATATATTCTAATACCCAAAGACGGCTTAAGGAAAAATTCAAATGTATGAGTCTACAGAACTGTATTTCGACGAAAATTTCGTTGAAGCTTTTTCACTGACCTGTTATTTTCGCGAGAAAGTTTTCATAAGCAGCATCGACAGTCGCGCCACCCCACGCGCCACCATTCGCTGAATGTAATTCTTTGAGTTTGTCCGAATCAACGACTTCATGTAGAGTTATATCAACTGTTCCGCCTGAATGTAGTATAAGATAAAAATCGTTCATTAGCTGTTAATCTAACTTCCATTAATGTACGTTTTTCGTTGTCAAAAATGCACACATGGTATTCTCCTGCAGCAGCAACAACAACAACAACAAAACAAAAACAAACAACAACAAGTAAGTATAAAATGCTTTTTCACGTACAATATGTACTCGGATCTGAATTAAAAAAATCTTAACTCTATAATTTCGGACCGATTTTAACCAAAGTCGGATAATATAAATTTGTTTTTATAAAATGCATCAATTTGCTATCCCCAATGAATGAAAACAGCTGATTTACTGCAAATGATAACTAAAATTATGAACAATTTATTAAATGTTCTGGTGTAAATTTTCTGACACACGTTTCCTCTAATACTTTAACTTAAAACAAATTTGAATAAAATAACAGCATTAATACGAACAATATCATAAACAGCATTAACTTAAATAAGTAGAATTAATTCATAGCGATGAGGCAACAAACATCATATATACTAACACTTAACCTTTGCATTTACACCCTTAAAAATAAACGAATATTGATATCTTAAATAGCAGGTACCGCCCAAAGCATGGGGAAATTTATTTGTGTAAACCGCAAAATAACTTATCTTACACATAATGAAAAACTTTGCGTCCAAGATTGGTTGGACAAAGTTTTTATACGAAATAGGAGCGAAAAGATGAACAAAAGTGAAAAGGAGATCAACTTTCGAGGAACGTGGCCGCATAGAAAAGTACGTACCTAGTGGCTCAGCAAACAGACACAGAGCAAGAAACGGGGGTAAGAGGACGAATCAATTTTGTTTCAAATAAGCCTTACCTCCAACGTCAACCACCATGTATTTTCTACCTTTAGAAAATGGAGATACACGCATGGATTCTGACATGTTTCCTTCCAATTTCATTTTCTCAACCGGAAGATGCATACAAAATAACGAGGCTGCTTCCGGTTCAAGGGCAATGATCAGATTGTCTGTCTTTATTCCAGCCTAAATAAAAGACCACATTTGAATAAATAAAAAAGTTAAACAAAATGAAAGCAATAAAATTAGCAAATCTAACTGAAAATGATGTAAGGCTAGTCTGTTCGTGGATTGCAGTGGTAAATGCAAGCTATCGTTCTGGCCCTCTAGCACCACCTTAAACGGAATTGAAGCGTGAATGTGGTTCTAAGTATTGAATAAATGCAGTCTCTATAAAATCAGGCTGACAAATAAATATGTATTAATATAGCTAGATTTCACAATTTCTTAAATACATTTATAATAATATTTTAATTAATTTAATGTGACATTCAACCTACAATTTCTGCTGCCTCTCTCATGAACTGTTTAGAGCCGTCATTCCATATGGCAGGGACTGTTAACACCCATCGTAAGTCATTATCATCTGCATCATGTAATCTAAATAATTTGTCATAACATGCAGAATAAATTTAATGATGTTGGGTTCCAAGAACAAATGTTAGTATTTTGGAATTTTACTAGTAAATACAACGCAATCAGAATGGTACAATTATAAAAGCACAAAGTTAATTTAGAGCTATACATATTCTTTCTAATTGACGGATTAATACATATGTATAAATTTTGATATAATTCAAGTTCAATGGTACAATGAAATCGCTACGAAGTATACATCAACATATATCTTAAACAGATGTATCCACATGTATTGAACGTTTAGTTAATGTGTGTCATTCACTTGAAGTTGTTATAAACTAGAAATGTGTCCATAGGACACGGATGGGTGTCCATAGGACACGGATGCCCCACACGCCACTGTTCTGTCAATCTTATGACTCTAGGTCAAATATTTTTTGGACTGCATGTGCCTCAAGTTGAAAACTAAAAATCAACAACGGGCCATAATTCTGTTAAATTTGGTCGCAGCAAAAATTCCTTCCTTTACTACCATCTACACATTAAGGTTGTTCATCCCTGGAAGTTTAAGCAAAATCTGCCATCCGGTTTAAGAGGAGTTGCGTTCACAAAATTTTACATAGTATATAGTGAAAAAATCAACAAAGGCCCATAATTCTGTTAAATTTGATCGCAGCAAAAAATTCCTCCCTTTACTACCATCTACACATTAAGGTTGTTCATCCCTGGAAGTTTAAGCAAAATCTGCCATCCGGTTTAAGAGGAGTTGCGTTCACAAAATTTCTACAAAGTATATAGTGAAAAAATCAACAAAGGGCCATAATTCTGTTAAATTTGGTCGCAGCAAAAATTCCTTCCTTTACTACCATCTACACATTAAGGTTGTTCATCCCTGGAAGTTTAAGCAAAATCTGCCATCCGGTTTAAGAGGAGTTGCGTTCACAAGATTTCGGGACGTACGGACTGACGGACAGACGTACGGACGGACACTCGGACGGACATGTGCAACGCTATATGCTCCCACTCTGTGGAGGCATAAAAATATGCTAGAGAACAATTCAGCAAAATAGAATCCTATGAAAACTTGTATATTGTTATTTTTAATATCAAAATTGCATCTATTTGTTATCAGTATTAGCAAGGTTTGATTTGAATACTTACATGTTACGTAGACATCCCATAAGGTGATCTTTCAAGTATTTGATAGCTATACCGAACACCTCTAGAGCCTTCATCTTATGATCAAATTCGTCTGTTATTTCTAGATCTCGCTTTAATCCCTGTGATCAATAAGAATGTAAGATAACAGTTTAAACGATACGGCAACCAAGACATTGCAAACATACCTGCATTATAGAAGTAAAATACTAAAAAAAATAATATGAATGTCATTCAGCAGGACTATGAAAAATGCTGTCTTTATTTCATACAAAGGAACAATGTACATGACACAACAAATCTGCCTCTATTTACACTTCAAATCTAAATACTTAGAAATATTCCCGCAATCAAAATTCTGCACAGAAGCGACGCTTTGCAAATTATGTCTTCCGAGAACGAAAAAGGTTGACGCTTTTTATATGTCCGGAAATGCAGCATATCTTTAAGGTAATTGATACCAATATTAAACAACATATCCTCACAACTTTAATTACGAACTACAAAGATCTAGAGATATGATTAAATGGAAAAGTATGAAAATGTTAAATCTCATAAATACCATTGAATTATATAGCATCATCTTAAAGCGTCTGAAATAATAGTAATCCTCATGTACCCCATCTATCGCTAGTTGACCATACTCGTTTTCTGCTTCATACCCAAAAGCTTTGAATGTCTTGTCTTTGTTTAGGAGAAGAATTGTCGGTGTTTTCAGTGACATCAAGGATCCTGTACCAGCGACCCATTTTGTCTGAGCATAAACTTTTGTAGGGTCTTTAATATACTCGTTTTTTAAAGAGAATGCGTATCCAGAGTAGGTCGTACCAAAATCAATAGCTGCAACGACCAGTTTACCTCCCTTACTGCTTGGTCCTCCCTTTGTACCACCTTTTGCACCCGACATCGTCAACCTTTTGTATTTCTGTTTTTGCAGTACCACCAATTAATTAGATAATTAGATAGATGAGTTAAATATTATTAAGAGAAATAATCATAAAAGCATCGTAATGTCTATTTCAATGTTAAAGTGTCCAGGCAGTTTATGGCCCTTTCCAATGTCAAAGCAAATAGTGTGTTTATGTTATGGTTTTTACAATTAAGAGAACGAAGAAAGCGAGCGCTAGTCCGCGACAATGGGTTCTTCAAGTAAAAGGGGTTTGGGTGCACCTCACACACTTCCTTTATCGGTTACGGCAATTAATATCTCGCAAGCTACCCAGTTAGCTTACGGAAAGTCGGTGGTTCTACTCAGGTGCCCGTTAATGCTTTAAATGATGTACAGAGGGACACCTGAGGTCTTCCTCCACCAGTAACTGTAGGTGGAAAGTCGCCATATGACCTTTACTATCTAGTGCTGGTGCGCGACGTTAAACCCCCCAAAAATATCTCGCAAGCTGGTTTTTAATCATGAAATTTGAGGACATATATATAAGTTAGAAAAGTTAATACCGCTAATAAAAAGACAATCAGACAAAATTCCTTCGATTATAGAGTTGTAAACGAAAGGAACCTACTTCCCAGTCAAGAATGTGAATGAGTTTAAATCAAAATTAGATAAACACTGGCAGTGGAGAAGATTCAAATTTGACGATATTTATTGAATAGACCAATACCGGAGCGAACGACAAGAAAATAGAACTCGAGGAGAATGGTTCCGGTAGTCGATCTGTTAGGGACAAATAAAGTTTCCCATACATCACAAGGTATCACAAGGTATGTATGCTAATTATGTATGTCTTTCAATTTATAGGCAATACGAGATATAAGAAATGAATGTTGATTTGATATTAGCAGCATATATTTTCAGAAAGCTCTAAAAAGTTATTATAAATAGATATTTTTAAAGATACAATGTCTTCCGGTCCCTATACTTGTACTCCTGTTTATAACCATAAATTGTATTTATAAAATTGGTGTTGCCCTAGAAGGACAAGTAGGCTTAACTTGTATTAAACAATCTTTCGTAATTTTTAAAGAAATTAAAGAATTACAATGTACTCCTGTACTAAACAATAACTATATGAAAACGAAATTATTAACGCGGAAACCTCCATAAGTTTTGCGAAAGTTTTCATGAAAAAAATATCCGTAAGTGATGGTGGACTATTTATGCTTTCGTGTTTTTCAACCAATTTAAACTACATGTTTAAACACCATAAATATTGAAACAAGACGACAAGTATTAAAAGTATCGTCCTTTTTATCAAGTTATACCCCTTGTGTTAGATAAGCTATTCAAATAAGAACGAAATATTTGCAAAATTGTTTCACGTATTTATAATAAGTAACAGCATATGGCTACTTTCGATTTAATGTACATTGTTTTGTAATAAAAAATCTTAATGTATATAGAAATAAATTTTATTTTTATTTAGAATTAACTTTTGTTAAATAATCAGACAAAATATTTGCCTAGTACCACATCTAAATGTATTTATTCAGCAAACAATACATTGTAAACAAAGATTTAATTTAAAAATGAAGTCCAAATAATGTTAACCTTTTATGTAATCTTATTTGTTATATACAAATTATATATATCAGTCAAGTTTTGGTCGTAAAATAATTTTGTTATTGTAAAAAGTCGAATAGATTAAACTGCATAATGGTTGATAAAAGAAAAAATGCCATATCATATTTAATGACAAATTAAATATATCTGAAATATATTATGTTTACTGTAAATCTTGATTAGGCAGCTAAGTATTGATGCAGCAATATGTTATATTCCCATTCATTAAAATCGCCAGAATTTACATAACCATTTTTTCGGAGCATTTTTGTTAGTACTTCTATGAAATATAAAGCATATTATACTTCCTGGTTTGTCTATTTAAAGATTGTAACTTCATGTACATGAATAATCTATCTTATCTGCTACCCTATTTGATTTAATAAAAATTTATATGTAGAGGTCATTGTTTAAATACATTTCAAAGGAGATATTTTGATAAAGCAATTAATCAATTAAACATTCATAATTTAGTACAGAAATATGTCAAGTAGATCGATACGTTTTCGTATAATTTGTCGTTAACTCTAAATGATATTTGATAATCTGTGGTATTTATAGATCAAACTGAATGTATGCCATGTTATAATTATTTAACTTTGCACCAACACAATATAGGTCATATGGCGACTTTCAAGCTTTTATAACCGAAATGCCGAAAGTTGATAGAGTACTTAAAAGTGGCCATATATGCAGGATCAACAAACGGCACCAGCTTTTACAGAATATCTTTACAAATTTTCTGCATCATTGAGCGGCGATAGAAAATCTAAATGTCTGAAGCTTAATATCTTAATGTCAAGTAGATGTTGATTTAAAACATTATTATTGTTATTGAAGAAAAGAAAGCAACGGAGCCAATTTATTATCCTGGCGTTGTAGCAAGTAAAGTTGTCTTGAACAAGTTATTTCTAGAATTTTGCGATAGTGGACAAACGTACTTACGTAGCGCTTATTGTTGTGTTGGCTACACTGAATAGTGATGGTTGCAGAAAGTTGTGATGGCTAAACAAAGTTTACCGAAAGTTGTGTTGGCTACACCAAGTGGTATTGGCTACAGAAAGTTGTGATGGCTACTTTAATTTGTGTTAAAGTGAGAGATACATCATAGAGTCAAACTTGTATTAATCGACCGCGCAAGGGAAACACCCAAAACGGCCCTTTAATGAAACGGTCTCTTGAGACAAAGAAAAGGAACCCGACACAGTGTTGGGATAGTGTAAAAAGTGATTCTAGAAAAAAAATATATATATAGTTTATATAGCCTATATATTATATATAAACTATATATATATATATATATATATATATATATATATATATATATATATATATATATATATATATATATATATATATATATATATATATATATATATATATTTTCTGGAATTACTTTTTTTACACTATCCAAACTCTGTGCCAGGTCCCTTTGAGACAAAGCATGATATAAAAGTCAAAATTTAAAAATCTTTCTTTTGCGGTGCGAATGTTTTTCAACTTCATTTATATAAATGTTGATAAGTGTGATATGTAAATTTACGTATCAAACTTGCTTGTACCTCATGTCAAGTAAAGTTTTTATAACAAACAATATTCAATTAAATAACAGTCAGTTTAACATAAGCTACATTTTGCATATATAGTTTTTGACCGACATAAAAGACATGTAACGAAAACGATTATTATTGAACATTCGAAATACCAACAATAGGTGTGTGATTTTGGACCCTTTCAGAGCTGAATTTGGCTTTTCGGATTAGTTTATAAATGCAACATTTCTGTTTAATATCGGAGTTCAATAATGTCATACATAGCTTAAAGTGGATGATATTTGCTCTGATAATAATAAAACATATAATTATATAACCGAACGTATCTTATGAATCTGTGTCTGATAGAAGATGTTACATTTAAGTAAATCTTGAATAATATTTATATAAATATATCCAGCATATACAAAACAATATCAACTATCAACATGTATTGCAAATATGAATAATATACAAAAACAAAAAAAAAAAACTTTAACTTAATTTATCACTTATAGATAAATACCACTGATTTTTGAGCTATGCAAAATTATATTTTTTTTTGACATGAAAATCAAAAAGGTATTTTTGTACATTTAAACTTTGATATTTCGTTACACAAAATGTTACTTCAGCACGAATTTTCTCATTTTCCACAATACTACAATCTACTTTAAGTGAAATAATCTAGAGTTTCAGTCTTATCATTTTCGCCTATTAGCTCTTAGCCTGCCGCCGGGAACATATTCTACTTATATAAGTCCTTTTCCATAACTTAGTTTCCTCCCTTGACGAGTTATCATCATCTTTCCGAATGCGCATTCTTAGATTTTTTTCACTTCCGGGGACGGCAACCATGCTGTCTGCTCATGGTCTGCGCTGTTCGCTATTGAGTCAATGGTTTTTTTGTGATTTTTTAATAATAAATGGATTTGCCTATATTAAAAGATGGATAAGTCCATTCAAGATATTTAGCATGATTCAGGCCACCAGGATACTATAGTACTAATCTATCGTTCTTTCTGGGAAGACGCTCACCTTTAGCATTTAAATGGCTACACACTCAACATCAAGGTATCAAAGACCTCTATCGCACCTCTCTCTCACATACTCAGTCACGCGTATTTAAAACCAAACAATGTTCTTTTGGATGCACCCTATAGAATGATGCATTTTTGTTGTATTCGTTTTCCATTATAAAGCATTATTTTAACGATTGTCACAGTTCGTAAAGTTAAGATAATGCTCGAAGGAAAAAGTATTAACTACAATTGCAGATGCATATTACATATGTCATGTAAACAAACAACACAAAGTAACAACAATTTGCAGCAATATCCTACAATATCGAGACAGCTACTGCAAAAAATCAAAGGTTGCCTTTGTAACCTTTTTCGTTTTTTCATCTTCTCCCTCAACAACGACTTCCGTTCCGCCAAAAATCAGTTTCACAAAGACGCCTCGCTCTTTCCCGCCAGAAAGATCCGGAACTTCAACTTCCAGCTGACCTAAATAAGAGCAGTCTACATCCGTGACATATTGAGGATCTTCCTTTGTAGATGTGTATAAATCGAAGATCAGTGTCATTTGATCTGCTTCTAGTGGCGTGTATCTTTGGTTCGACTGCACCTCACCAACAACTAACTCTTGACCTTTCTTCACGTGACAAGCAAACGCATCCTTGCATTTAAAACGTTTTCCAACTTGAACCTTTTTGTCTTCCAGATGTTCACCAGCTTTAAAATCACGATATACTCGGATGCCATATGAACATTTTGCAACACGGGACACTATGGTAATTGGGTTATGTCCAAAAATCACAGCTCCCTTTAATACCACCAAACCAGCTTCTTCAGGTATAATTAATCTTTTGTCTTTGAAGTTTGATCTTAGAGCTTCTTGTAGCATTGGTGATTCAGAAAAACCCCCGACAAGTAAGATTGTGTTGATCCCCAGATTCTGCTTCTCTTTAAATATTTTCTTGATGTGTTCTACTGTATTTCTACACGATTCGTCATACCATGACTTTACCATTCCATAATCAATTCGTATTTTATCACCTTGCCATTTGACTTTATCTTTAAACTCCACTATCTCGCTGATTCTAGCTTTAAATGTTTTTCCAGTTGTCTCTTCATATAATTCTCCTAGACGAAAGGGCATTTTGATGGTCTCTAGTCCGGTTTTTCCAGCTACTACGCTTCTTTTTTTAGCTTCAAACTCCCGGAGCAGATCGATATGATCTTCTGTAGCCTCTTTCTTGAATTGGTTATAAAACTTTTCCCCTTAAACAAAGATTATTATCTTGACACGCGTTTATGGTAAAACAGAGGATGAGTGCTATTTTACATTGTAAATTATCATTAATTTATGAGTAATATAAAGTAAATAGTAATGATCAGAGAGTTTATAATAATATTTTTTACAATTGCATGTACAAGTACACTTAAAAAACGTAATTATAATGTGCAATGTAAATATCTTGTTTTATAAATTGAAGACAGCAATATTGAATGTTTGATATCAACAGGAACTGTCGTAGCCTGTTTTGTAAAGTTTATAGGATGGTATCCAATTTAGCTGATATCTTGACGAATTTCTCTTGATTTTAATAAGACTCATTTAGGTTATTATAACTGAAACTAAATTTGATCTGATTTCCACATGCTATGATCTTTTCAATAAATCGACATTTCTATGAAATTTTCAATTACACCATTTTTATCTGTTTGGGTCGTCAGACCAAACAAATAATGGTAGCGAAATTTCAGACTCGAATGCTGTTAATTGCAAGTGCCGAAAGTAGTCCGCTTTTTTGAAGCGGTTACTTCCCTTTATATGTAACACTTAGGCCGAAAAAATTAGGGGAGATCACTGCGTAAATATGGTCACATGACAGGCGGGTTAATTTTCAAGCAAAATAATTCCCGAATGGTCGAAGATTTCTAATATTGTTTTATTCTTTATAAATAAACATGCTTATAGTAAGCGCCATGGTTATTTATACAAGTGTTAAACAATAGTTAGCGTCGTTAAATAATAAATAAATAGAATAATAAGGTTTTCTTCAGGCCGTTAAAATATAAATTCACCGTGGCCGAGGGGTTTTCGCGCTCGCTTAGGAAGCGAGAGGTCTGGGGTTCAAATCCCAATTACGCAACCAATTTTTTTCAAATTGTTTAAGTCAAATAAACATTGGATCGAATATCAGTGTTGCAATTAGTCTTATAGCCAATCTACTACAATTAAAACGCTGGAAAGCATTGGTGGCACTATACAAAAACAAATTGGTTTATAATCTCAGAACCTTCACCTTTCTGACATTCTGAGACCCAAACAAATTCAGCGCCATCTGTGCTTTGATCATACCAAGATATTGTATTCAGCTTACGCCTGGGTACTAGATACTTGGACGGTAGCTTGCACTACTGCTGTCGTTTATAAACAAGACTATGAGACAGTTTTATTCTGCCATGTTGAAAGTCAATTATAGTTACTTTTTTAGCTATTCCTAGGCACAGATATTTACACAATATGTTAATTTTCCATATGTATTTACTGATGTGGTATGTTAACTGACCTGTAATTTTCGTGATAAAGTTTTCATAAGCAGCGTCTACTCTTGTACCACCCCACGCGCCACCATTAGCTGAATCTAATTCTTTGAGTTTGTCTGACTCCACAACTTCATGTAACGTTATATCAACTGTTCCGCCTGAATACAGAGTATACACATGTATAAACAACATTATTCCGCGACCATGTATTCAATGAAAGTATTAGAAGTTCAAGGGCGACGCACAGATCCGAGAAATTTAAAGATAGTGACCATGATACAAATTCTCTCACACCAAATCAAGTACTAGTATAGTGTGCACGAATTTGACAACAAACAGGGGCGATCATACGTTGGATAGCAATCAAGACATGACGGAATCAAGTCGTGTCTGACATTTCCATGTTATTTTGTTGTAATTATTACTTTCGAGAGATCACCCTTTTCCGATTTTTTACAGGTTTTATTAATGGGTCAATATAAATGTATAATATGTTGCCTACAAAACACAAAGGCGAAGGATTAGAAAAAAGCCCGCACAAGGCTTGTTTAATCATAGCATAATCTAAAGACCAGAAATAAAATGTTACCTCCTACGTCAACTACCATGTATTTTCTGCCTTTAGAAAAAGGAGAAATACGCATGGATTCTGTCATGTTTCCTTCCATTGATATTTTGTCAACCGGAAGATGCATACAAAATAACGAGGCTGCTTCCGGTTCAAGGGCGATAATCAGATTTTCTTTCTTTATTCCAGCCTGGAAAGTTCAAAATTCGCAATTAGTAGTATTTTTTTTTTTGTCAAAAAATTCTTATTTAAGCTGTTTGTTTTAAAAAAATGCAAACAAAGAGTAAATAATTGGATTTTTATCGTGAACATATTTAAATATTTTAGTCAACCCTAGTGCATATAAGAAAATTTGACCTGTGGAAAATTATTAAAGCTGGAAAAAATACAATAATACAAAATGAATAAAGAAAATGAAGTTTTGCATTCAACCTTTTCTGCAGCCTCTCTCATAAACTGTTTAGAGCCGTCATTCCATATAGCAGGAACTGTTAAAACCCATTGTATGTCACTTTCAAGGATACCATGCACTCTGAAAAAATACAAACAAACGCATTAATTAGATTCTATTAATTTATATACATATACACAAGGTTTTTTTTTCAGATACTGATTAAAAAATTTCAACTTCATTAAGTTTCGAGCACAAGCAAACTTCTGAATTCTCGACATCGTGGCATACATGAGGATGAGCAATGAGTGGATCCATTCCTATTAATGATCATTATATAATTCTTTTTTGGTCTTTGTTGTAAATATTGTTCCACTTCATATGTAACATGGATTTTACAAAAAAGATTTTCTAGCATATAGCATAAGCCATTAGATTAATACAAAAACAAACATTAAAGTGACATTATGCTCATTCTTTCGTTATCAAGTTGTGTGGAATTAGAAACATATGTATTTAAAAAAAAAAGATTGACTATCTTAATGGTGATATGGACAGTCAATAATTGATTATTGGAAATGTTTAGAATAAAATATAAAAACTGCCTAAAATAAAAAAGACATTCCCACACGTTTTTATTAAAAGAGAAAAAAGGATATATATGTAAAAAGTTCTTGAATATTCATTAAAAGTAGGATGTGAAATAAGAAAGATATATGGCAAAATATAAATATATTATGACTTTTACCTGTTCTCTCAGCATTTGCACTTTGATGGGCATAATGTCATTTTAACGACATTTATTTCTGATATCTTACAAACATTTTTGATTAGAAAAAAAGTAGCAAACATCACAAAATACAAAATATTATGATTTAGATAGGCCAGAATATCAGTGATGCATCTAATACTTATAACAAAATAACAGCTTGGGGAACAGGTAGTACGTAGTACAGCAAAGAACCTACTTGTTACTAATACTGCCCATAAGATGACCTTTTAGGTATTTGATAGCTATGCCAAAAACATCAAGAGCTTTCATCTTATGACCAAACTCGTCTGTTATTTCTATATCCCGTTTCAAACCCTGAAAACCAAATTTAGATATGACTGTACTAAGGACCTGTCTTTAGCTACACTAGATAAAATAATAAAATCAACAGCTGTTAGATTGCAAGTGTAGAAATAAAAAAAAACTGTGCATCTATACTGTAACATTGAAACCCATGCAATTGCCATAACTTTACACAACTTGTGTTTATCTTTAAATTTTCATAATTATACATTTATTTGTTTTTGAAGACAAAACAGTTATGTCTTTCGTTTATGTCAAACGTTGCGATTCCCTTTAAGCATCTATTCAAACAATGAGACTTTTGAAATGTTTTGTCTTTGAAACAACTGATATTGATCTATCATGTTGATACAAACATAAAAACAGCAACTAACAATATTGTAAAAAGATGTAAATGCTTATTTTGACAATACCATTGAATTATAGAGCATCATCTTGAAGCGTCTGAAATAATAGTAATCCTTGTGCTGCCCATTTTGCGCTAGTCGACAATACTCGTTTTCTGCTTCATAACCAAAAGCATTGAATGTCTTGTCTTTGTTGAGTAGCAGAACTGTCGGTGTTTTAAGTGATATCAAGGCCGCTGACCCCGCAACCCATGTTGTCTGTGCAAACACCTTGGTGGGATTTTCATTATAGTCATTTTTAAAAGAGAATGCGTATCCAGAGTAGGTCGTACCAAAATCAATAGCTGCAACGACCAGTTTACCGCTTTTACTTTTTGGTCCTCCCTTTGTACCTCCCTTTGCACCTGACATCGTTAACCTTTTATATATATAAAAAAACACAACTTAACGATAACTGAAGGTTTATTCATAAAAACATTTATGGAAATTATTGAAGATTTCACTAAGCCAGATAATATTTTCGTGAACATGTTTTTTTAAACAACTGGTTTCATTCAAATGTTTATCTTGTTTCACGAAACTTTTACCGAGACGCGTTTCACAACACGCCAGCTATTTACACTTTAGTTTCTTCTTTATTGATGTTAAGGCACATTATATCTCAAAATTTCATATTTTTAATACTATTAAGTAATGGAAAACATGTGTTTAATGATGTTTTATTACTGGATTGAGATGCATAACAACTGTAGAAAGTTGCGATCTTTCATTGATATGACTGTGTCCTAAATGTAGCAAAATGTAAACAATGTTGTATTTTGACCTCCATACAAAATACTCATTCACTATGACTATAAGAGCAAAAAATGTAAAAGATGGTTCATCTATGTGGCAAATGCCTATTTGTATGGATACAATATACAAAAAGGAAAGATTTTGAGGGAAAAAAGGATAACATTTTTGAGGCATAATTGATCTTTAATATAAAATCCCGAAAAAAAACCAGAAAACAAAACAAAAACTGCATAGCTGTCTCGAAAGATTTACCTGTAAGACTCTAAGTTGCGGAATATTTATGCTTTCGTGTTATTTTTTTTTCAAGTATTAAAATAATTTTCCTTCTAAACAAGTTAAAACCCCTGTGTTAGATATATTACAAATAAGAACGAAACATGTGTAAAATTTTTACACGTATTTATAATAAGTAACAGCATAATTATATGGCTACTTTCGTTTTAATGTTCATTTGTATTTGGTATACATGTAATGTAAAAGTTAATTAATATAATATTATACTCTTAGTTTAAACGTTGTTACAAATACTATAATTAAGCTTATCAGAAATTATTTGCCAACGTTTTTATTCCATAAACACCTACATGTAAGTCTTATCAATGTAAACAAAGTATATATCACATAAAATGAAGTCCCAATAATATAATTTCTAAATGTTTACCTTTTTTGTAATCCGATATAAGAATATTAAAAAATTATATCATATCAGTCAAGTTTGATCGTAACAAAATACAGTTGTTATCTTTAAAAATGTCGAATACGAATTAAACTACATAAAGGTTGAAATCGAAAGAAGAAAATAATTAAACTACATGTACTATGAGAAGGAAATATATTATATTTCTTGATTAAGGCAGCTTACACTTGGTTTAGGCAGTAATATGTATATATTCCCTTTGTAATTATCTCCAAAATTTACATAACCATTTTTTCGGGCATTTTTGTTAGTATTTCTATGAAATATAAAGCATATTATATTTCCTGGTTTATCCATTTAAAAAAAGTAACTATACATGAACATGTTTATCTGTCTAAATGATCTATAATTTAATGAAAATTTATATGTAAAGGTCATTGTTTAAATACATTTCAAAGGAGATATTTTGATAAATCAATTAATTAAACGTTCACAATTTAGTACAAAAATACGTCAAGTAGATCGATACGTTTTCGTATCAATTGTCGTTAACTGATAATCTGTGGTATTTATAGATCAAACTGACTGTATGACATGTTATAATTATTTGCGGGTTGGATTTAACGTCGCACCAACACAAATGTGATATTCATATTGAAGTGGATTGAAAACTATTATGCAACGGCCATTTTCCTGAACTACGTAAAAAAGGCCAATAAACTTCGGGAAGGATTTTGACGTTTGCTGCCTGATCGGGAAGCCTTGAAGTGGAATCCCCTTGTTTCCCGATGAGGAAGTATGCTCGACTGAGTATATAGGCAAGCCAACTTGCACAACCGTAAAGTTTAACCATATTCTAATTTTAAAGGACCTCCACTGACATACAAAGCTTCGAAACATAAACTTTACAGAATCTTACATAGATTAACCGGGGTACTTTAAACGGGAAATATGAATATTCTTAGACCCTTTTAAGCTTCAAGTTCGTTGCTTTTTATTTTAAAATATTTTGAAGAATAAAAATGATTATAATTATGTACATGTATTCTGGAGTTGTAAAAAGGAATAAACGAATAATCTGGCATTTTGCACACAAGTTATTCGGTCACACCTGTATGTACACCAAATGTAATGAAAACCTCAAAACAAAAATTTCCAGCGTCATTTAAAATGGAGAACACTGATATTAACCTTCCAGAATATAAAATAAGATTCAAATGAGCCAAATAGTGTACAGTGTATTAATTTATAGTTGCGAAGAACTCTATTTGAGCCGCGACACGACAAAACCAATGTAATGCGTTTGCGACCAGCATGGATCCAGACCAGCCTGCGCATCCGCGCAGTCTGATCAGGATCCATGCTGTTCGCTATCAGTTTCTCTACTTGTTATAGACTTTGTAAGCGAACAGCATGGATCCTGATCAGATTGCGCGTATGCGCAGGCTGGTCATGGTCCATGCTGGTCGCAAACCCATTATGTTGGTTTTGTCGTGACGCGGCTCAAATAATACCTCCTACGTCAACTACCATGCATTTTCTGCCTTTAGAAAAAGGAGAAATACGCATGGATTCTGTCATGTTTCCTTCCATTGACATTTTGGTCTGGATCCATACTGGTCGCAAACACACTATGTTGGTTTTGTCGTGACGCGGCTTATTAAAGTATTTGAGACTCTCCCGCGATATTGAAAACATGTATATCATTATATTGTTTGATTGTGCAGCATCATCTATAATGTAATTGTATAATTACCCCATGATATCATGTTTGCATGATCTGAGTGATGGAATAAATAAAGTGAAATTTCTTTTATTATTAAAACCTTTATTCAGATATCAAGCATCAATTTCACAAAGAAGGCATTTCATTCATGTATGCGACTATACTAGTCTTATGCAGCCGTTGATAAAACAATTTTGAATACGATATTATAAAGATATTGTGCATTACAAAGATACTCAGAAAGAAAGCATGTTAGTAGTTTTTATCTCTCTTTTTTTAAATTATTATTATTTCTTGCTGGTCTCTAGTTGATGGGAACAAGTCGCTCAAGTTTTGATATAGCTGGATGCTTTGTCAATGTCTGGAGTGTTTATTTGTCTATCATATTATCCGATCAGTAAGCTTTATTTTTTTTAAACGTTCGTATATTTTAGTTATCTAAATATAAGTATATATTTAGGTATCAATTCAGACAGATATACGCAGTGTGTATTTGATGTTAAGTGTTATATTGTGAAATTGGTTTATGATCTCTTAAATCTTACCTTGACTTCAATAAAGAGTGTTGCTGTTTATAGATAGGGATTTGTTAAAATATCTATACATTGTTTTATTGCTATAACGATTATCACAATGTGTGTTACACATACAACACAAAGGACACTTTTTATTAAAATTTGTAAGAATGTTTCGAACTGAACAAACATTTAATTTCATTTGCTACATATGACCTTTAGTGAACCAGCAAAAACTACTATAAATTGTCGCTTGTTTTCAAAGCCTGAAATTTCGTCTCTTTACTTGAGTCTTTAAATTCCATTGTTCATTCCAATATGAGTACAATGTTTTATCCAGAGTGATCCAAACTAATGACTTTACTGGATTGAAAATCAATCGTTTTTGCTGATTATATCATTTATTTGCCGAAGATACACAGATTTTAGCTTGTTTTTGACTTTATATTGTTTACAGACAGTGCTACCCTTAGGTTTCACATCATGCGCCATATAAGAAACATTACATAAAACTTAGAAATGTCAGCGAAAAGCGAATATTCAGTTGCCAAAACACTCCCTTTAGTCTTTGAAAGACGGTCTTCCCAAATTAAGCTAACGAATTTGTAATTGTACTGTTCTTTACGGAATACCCTGATGTAGGGTTGTATTTTCCTTTATAGGTCAGCAGCTATATACGGTTGTTCTTTGTTTAAAACTCAGTGATGTTATCAAATTCTAATTTGCGTTCTCTGATAAAAAAGACCACTACTTCTGCATAAACCTTACATACATAACTCTCGTTGGATGGTTAGTTTGTTTTGTTTTGGGTTTTACGTCACCTTCGACACAGTATAGGTCATATCGCGACGTTCCAGCTTTACTGGTGGAGGAATACCTCAGGCGTGCTTCCGTGCATTATTTCAGGCCCCTGAGTAGAACCACCGACGTTCCGTAAGCTATCTGGATAGCTTCCTCACATGAAAGAATCTAAAGTCCCTGTCGGGATTCGAACCAACAGCGGTGAGGGGCAAGTGGTTTAAGTCAACGACCTTAACCACTCGGCCACGGACGCCCCCTAAGTTTTTGGATGGGAGGACAGATCTTTTCCATCGTTTTTAATTTTCACTTTTTCCAAACAAAACGTCTTCGTTATTTGAGTACCTTTCTTCTCTGTTGATCTTTATTTGAATATTTCTAAATGTCTGTCTTATTATTCGGGGAGTACAAATAACAGTCCTTTTTTCTGGTCTATCCGGCTTCTAGACAATGCTATATTCTTTGCTTTTCTGCAATTACCTTCATAAAAGAGTTTGGCCAAGAAGATTCGTTTGTTACGGAATTAAAGTTCATTCATTAGAGGAGGTAATGTGTAAGCGGTCGCACATGAGTGTCGGTAGGGCCGGAAAACGGTATTTCGAAGGTCCTAGGCTGGAGTTCCGGACAAGCTGCATAATTTATATTTATATTTCTCACATCATGACATTTGTTACCCAACTTGGGGAATAGTTCCAGAGTAACTACAAAATGTCTTTTTAGATCCGAAAAAATGCGAGAGCGAATTTTATTTAAAAAAGGGAGTATGTCAAGATATAAAACTGTTCACTAATGAGGGGGGGGGAAACTTTTAGCGACCACATACCCAGTCAGTAGATTCTCGGGAGAGTATTTCAAGGGGTCAGGTTTCAAGTCCCGGTCTGATTGCACATTTTTCACTTAGTGACAATTCGCCCAAACCGGCTAACCTCTCATCACTATCACATGTCACATAAACTGAGTTCAAGAAATAATTAAAAAATCTAATGTTTATGTAAGATATGTACTATTTATTATTTGTGAATGTCTGAAATTTTAAGTGACAAAAATTTATTTAGATAAAATGAAATAAACAAGTTCACAACATTATATACAGAAAGCTGTAAATTTACAACCCGTTAATCTCTACAAAAGCCAACAATGATAGAAGTATAAAATACTAGTTGTGTAGTTGAGAGTACACACTACAAATAGTACGTGAAAATGTATCAACACATATAATCAAAAGAAAAAAGAGAAAAAAATCTGCGTTTTTGTGTATCAAATCTGCGTTATCCAAGCAGAAATAAAGTTCTTGCAGGCAGTAAAAGTATTTATATTGTATGTCCAAATATCGTAGCACCCTTTAAAACCATCAAACTTCCTTCTTCAGGTATGATTAATCTTTTGTCTGGAAAATTTCTTTTCATGGCTTCTTGTAGCATTTGTGATTCAGAAAAACCACCGACAAGTAAGATTGTGTTGACGCCGACACTTTTGTCGTCATGGAATATCTTTTTTACGAGTTGTACAATATCAGTACATGATTTATCAAACCATGACTTTACAATGTCTACATCCAATCGTATTTTATCTCCATTCCATTTGACTTTATCTTGATACTCCCGTATCTCGCAGATTCTATCTTTCAACCCTTTTCCAGTTGTCTCTTGATACACATCTGCCAAGCAAACTGGGATTTTGATGACGTCTTTTCCAGTTTTTCCAGCTATTACTCCTCTTTTTTTAGTTTCAAACTTTCGGAGCAGATCGATGTGATCTTCTGCAGATTCTGTTTTGAATCGATCATAAGTTTTTTCTCCTACAAAAAGAATAAATCTTACCTGTTATATTTGGATTTCACATTTATTTTCGTTTCTTATATCAATCCATATTTTATAAAAGATTTTCATCAGAATGTAGAATAATCCTGCACAATGTGTTAAGTCGTTATTGAAGGCTAAAATTTAAAACGTTTCTAATTTCGTTTTAACTAATTTTAAGGACACGACTACTGTTATATACAGAAAGAGAAAGCATACATATCTACTGTTATTCCCAACACGAAAAACAACATTCTAAAACGTTTACTTCCCCTTAAGTCGGCAGTTGTGTGAAGTTATATATATGTACAAAATTTATATACATGTAAAATTATTCTTCTAAACGATTTCCAAACATACGACAATATGTTAAATATGTACAGCAAATGTTTATATAAATTATAATGAAACGTTAAAATTAATGCATTCATTTTAGAGAAAAAACTCGCTTAGACTTGATTGAAAATAATTTTTCTAATTTCTTCCCTTTATTTACAAGAAATGTTAAATTCGTTAATATCTTTACAAAATAATGCTTTTTGGACCTTACAATATTGATAAGTCTTGATTTGAGTAACCATGTTGATGACGAAAGGTATACTATATGTAAAACATGGTTTACGTTATAAATACTCTTATCAAAACGAAAACAATTGACCTTCGAAAAAAAATTGAATTCGGACTACTCTTAGATAAATACGCGAATGGGTCTGATTTTCAACGTAAATCTGTTTCATTAAACCCAATTCATTGACCTATTATTGTCGTGAGAAAGTTTTCATAAGCAGCATCGACCCCCGTGCCACCCCACGCGCCACCAAACGAATGTAGTGTGTTGGGTTTGTCTGAATCAATCACTTCCTGTATAGTTATCTCAACAGTTTCGCCTGAATGTAGTAAAAGATATAAATCGTTAATTAAATGGAAAATTAACAAGACGAAACAAGCAAATTTTCTGCTCGATTGTGTTGAGAGTTTTTTTTTTTTTAATTCTGTCGTGTGTGCTTCTTAGAACTAATTATGAGGAATCGAGGCCGTTGATTTAGGAGTACTCTACAAATAATGCACTGGACCACCGATTCCAATATGTATATCTTAAATATACTAATAAACATAAGTCAATTATGATTAATGATTATATTTGATAAGCATTATTTCCTTGTACATATATATACATTTGTACGTTACGTGTAAGTTGAGCTTAAGTATGACAAAAATAGTAAGATATGGCTCCATATATGAATGTTCCTTCAAAATTCATTATTTTTAACAAACAAACAACATATCATGGCGCACTGAAACGCTGATAAGAGGGGCAGTGCAGTTGCCAAATTAACGAGTTTAATCATAAGTATTACTTACCCCCTGCATCAACGACCATGTATTTTCTACCTTTAGAAAATGGAGATACACGCATGGAATCCGACATATTCCCTTCCATTGTAATTCTAGCAACTGGAAGATGCATACAAAATAACGAGGCTGCATCAGGTTCAAGGACGATAATCAGATTTTCTTTCTGTATTCCAGCCTAAAAATGGAAACCTTAAAAATAGGCCAACACGAACATAATTAACTAAAACTGAAACTGTTGTAAGCTCCTTGATTGAACATGTTGATATGATTTTGATTTTCAATTATATAGTTTCTTCTACAACTTTAATTAAGTCCAGTCGACATAAGAATACTTGTCAATATGTAAGGAACTAGCATTCCGTTTAAAATTTCTAAAATAGATAAATTATAATGTCATTCAACTTACAAGTTCCGCGGCATCTCTCATCAACTGTTTACAGCTGTCGTTCCATATAGCTGGAACTGTTAACACCCATCGTATGTCATTATCATCAACATCAAGTAATCTAAATAAAACGTCCAAACGAGCGAAATAAATTATAATTTAATGTTATGTTAAAGTGAATTTAGGGCGACAAAATTTTTTTTTAATTGTCTAATTTATGACATTTGTTTAAATAAAAGCTGGTCATTAAATTGTCAAAATCATGGAAGGTATTCATAAATATCACCAGTGACAGACAATGTAGTAATGATAAGCTAAGGTAAGCCAATAAATTCGAAACTGCTTGGCAATTCATAATAAAATTTTCTCAAGTTTGATTTTTAGATAGTTTGGCTCATCTAGAGGCATCTAGCTCTAAATATGTTTACGTTCTAACCGTTTTACTTTTTACAGGAACAGTGAAATCGCTACCGAGTATTTTTTACATCCGCAGAGATTGGGAATTTTAGTAGTGTTATTATGCTTTTCAATTTCATTGTCAGGTTTAGCTAAATTGACAAAATATTTCAAAAGCTTTACTGTTGGTGATTGACCAACAGTCGATAAATGGAAAATGTTAAATTCCGATGGATGTTTTAAAAAATATTCTTGGACCATGTGAGTTATCTATCTTTCATGCGAAGTAAATCGTCAAATTCAAAGACATTATGGTAAAAATTTAAACTTATTTTGGCTTTTGAACTTGGAAGCGTATAATGTCACCTTTATCTATCTTGTGTCATGCTAATAAGTGTTTCTAAATGTGTAATCAAACAATGCAACGATATCGGATCGCATGAGTATAAATATATAAAATTGAAGAAGTATGCTCTCATTTGAATACCTACATGTGTTTTAGTCCACCATAAAGATGATCTTTCAAGTATTCAATAACGATGCTAAATACCTTTACCGCCTTCATTGTTCGACCAAACGCGTCTGTTATTTCTGTATCTCCTTTTAATTCCTTTAAATAATTTTAATATAAATATTAATTTCAACAAGAGAAAACACGGGGTGTAATGAATGATACGAATTTGTATAAGCTTTTTATTTAAATATGCAGTCAGACACATGCAAACATGCCCGTTATTGACGTAATTAAAATCCTAAAACCAAAATGTCATTTAGTCGAAGCATGAAGTAATACAAATTCTTCACAATTGTGACTTTTTGCAAATGTAATTGACAATATAGATAATGCAAAAATATTTGAATGTACTTTTCAAATTATGCATACGGTATATAAATTATGCCCTTAACAATTGAACTGACAAAATATTTATTTAAAGATATGAATGTATGGAATAACTTTACCAATGAATTGTATAGCACGATCTTAAAGCTTTTGAAATAATAGTAATCTTTCTGAACCCCCTCAGGCTGAAGTTCACCATACATATTTTCTGCTTCATAACCAAAAGCTTTAAATGTCTTGTCATTGTTTAGGAGAAGAATTGTCGGTGTTTTACTTGTCACCAAGTGCACTGTTCCCGGAAACCAATTTGTAATACCGTAAACTTTCATCGGGTCCTTTCTAAAATCATGTGCAAAGGAATATGCATATCCAGAATAGGTCGTTCCAATATCTATTGCCGCAACGATCTGTTTACCCCCCTTACTCTTTTGCCTTCCCTTTGTATCCATTGCATATGCCATCGTCAACCTTTTATATCAAAACATATCTTTATTGAACGGAAGCATGAATAGGTCACCACTTAACAATAACTTTTTATGAAAAAAATGCGGAAAAAGGAATTTGTAAGGATCTGACATTCTAGCATTATTCTGAAATGTACTTAAAACAGAACTTATAATGAAATCCAAGTGACATTGTAAAATCCTATAGCTCCATATATTGTTGACTTCTACAAGATAAAGATTCACTTACCTGATTGATCTGAAGGAACACTGTATTAACACTTATCGGCTTTGCAATTTAAGCTGATAGAAATATTAAACTTACCTTATTTTATAGCAGAAAACTGATTTTCTCTTTACATTTTCTGTGTAGCAGACGTCCAATGACAGACATCTTTGAAATCTGTCACTTCATATTTTATATTGAAGATTTCTTATTGTTAATATCAATTTCAGTCAAATTCAATTCAAGAACGTAATTTATGTAAAGATATGATTGATAAAGGTCAGAAATCCTTAAGTATTCACTACATGTTTTTGTATATTAACGATTTTCGGATGCAGATTTTATATGAGATTTCAATGACCGCCATTGAAATCCAAAATTTCAGATTCAGAAATCCGGCTGTCTGTCCATTGGAGGATTTCTGGATTTCTGTTGTTTCATTGGTGGATTTCAAACATCGAACCTTATAAAAGGCGGAATCCAACCAATGTTGTCACTTCGGTCTTGACCTCCAAGTTATGTAAATAAAGTTGTAAAACCGCCAACGTTCAAATCCAGTAAACATCTTACAAACGTTATTGTTATCCAAACTTGTAAGCTGGTATGTATTTATATCCAGTATTATTAACTCACTAGACACTGCTATTGCCGAAATACTTGTTATAAACTTAGAAAACTGTATAAGAATTGTATTTATTTTCCCAATCCTGACATACGCTTAAAATGGTGTCAGAAGTAGTGGGATGGTCTAAATTATTTACCATCCTATAAAACGGACCAGACAAGTGCATCTTCTTCTTCTTCTTCTTCCAGTATAAGAGCCGCGATCCAAAAGGAACGTAATGAGGCTCTGCGAAACTATGTACATGGTGAGATGGAACACTCTTCCGCTCAGCGATAAAAGTTGTAAAAACTGATAAAAACTTTATTTACAGAGACGTTGTGTAGTGAATTTAGACGGAGGCCGGCAGGCGCGCGCGGAAAGCATCCAATGTTTCCGCGGCGGTGACCGTTGATGCCAGGCCATTCCAATCAACAATTGTCCTGGGGAAGAAGGTATTTGTATACATCCTGCCAGTGGTGCGTTCTTGGTAGAAACGTATACGTGTTCTACTGTCACTGGTGTTCTTCTTGGATTTGTTACTCAGTGGTACGTACTTGTCCTTGGGGATGTCTACTAGGTCATGTTGAATGCGGTAGAGCATGCCTAACCTTGCTTCCTTCCTTCTCTGTTGGAGGGTATTCCAATCCAGGCTCCTCAGCATTTCTGTCATACATCCAGGTGTTCTGGATTTATAGTCATTTTTGACAAACCTGGCTGCCCTTTTCTGGATCTGCTCAAGTGAATCTATGTGTGTCTGGAGATAAGGATCCCAAACTGTTGCTGCATATTCAAGACCTGGGCGTACAAAAGTGCAGTAACTTGCTGCTTTCAGTTGTGGTGTACAATCCTTCAAGTTTCTCCTCACAAATCCCAGTGTTCTGTATCCTTTGGCAGCTACATTCTGTATGTGCTTGTCCCATGAGAGGTTGTTGGAGACAGTTACACCAAGGTATTTGCTGTGGTCCACTGATTGCAGGACTTGGCCATGAAGTATATACTGGTGTTGGTGATCTATCTTTCTGTTTGATGATATGTGTAATACATAGCACTTGGAAGCATTGAAGCGCATAAGCCAGGTTCGTTCCCATTGTTCCAGTGCTTCAAGATCCTGCTGCAGCCTTGTCTTGTCATTTGTACTCTTGATGACCCTGAACATGAGGCTGTCGTCCGCAAAGAGTCGGATGTCAGATGATGTGCAGTCAGGCATGTCATTTATGTAGGCCAGAAACAAAAGTGGACCTAGAACGGTTCCCTGGGGAACGCCAGATATAACATCATCTTGGTCAGACTTGGTGCCTTCAAGGACTACCTGTTGCTTGCGGTTGCTCAGGAAGGATTTGATCCACTGGTTTAAGGGACCTCTCACGCCATAGAAATCTAGCTTGTAAAGGAGTCTGGAATGAGGAACTTTGTCGAACGCCTTCTCGAAGTCGAGTAGAATGGCGTCTATTTGGGTACCCGCTGAGAGATACTTGGCGATGGTGTCAACTTTTGTTAGAAGTTGAGTTTCGCATGAGCGACGTTTCCTGAAGCCATGCTGGTTGTCTCTCAGTATATGGTTGGTGTCAAAGTGTGACATTATATTACTGTGGACAATGTGTTCCTGGATCTTGCAGGTGATCGATGTAAGTGAGACGGGCCTATAGTTGACCGGGATGTGTGTATCTTTCTTTTTGTAGATGGGTACTACATTTGCATCTCTCCAGTCCTGAGGTACTTCAGAAGAGTCTAGGGAAAACTGGAAAAGGCGGGTAAGTATTGGTGCCAGTTCATCAGCAGCTAAATGGAGGAACCTGGTCGGAATCTCATCAGGGCCTGCAGCTTTATGGCAGTTAAGATTTTGGAGTAATTTCCGTACTCCTGGTTCCCTAACTGTAATAGATGACATGCTGGGGTGGCTACTTGGTCCCTTGTCAGGTAAGTTATCTGTGGGTTCTCGGGTGAAGACAGAGCTGAACTGCTGGTTCAGTATACTGGCCTTGCTCTTGCTGTCACTCCGAATGAAACCAGCAATATTCTTCAGGGGAGCTACACCAACCATTTCCTGACCCTTGCTCTTGATGTAGGAGTAGAACTTCTTCTTGTTGTCTGGACTACTGTCACTGACGATGTCTTGCATATACTGCCGGTTTGCTCGTCTTGTGTGCCACTGGACTTCTTTTTGCAGTCGCTTGTAACGATCTCTGTCTCGTTTGGAGTTTGATTTCCTAGCTTTCTTAAAGGCTTTTTGTTTCCCTCGAATGCTTCTTTTGATGGTGGAATTCATCCATGGATTATTTATATTTAGAACAAGTGAGTTTAGATGGTACTCTCTTGGTTATAATTTCTGTGATCTTTGTTTTAAAAGCATGCCACATCGATTCAATGTCTGTGTATGGGGTGTTCTGGAATTCGGTTGCTAGAGTACGGGTGTCTTCTTTGATGGCATTAAGGTCCGCCTTCTTCCATAGTAATATTTTCCGTCTTGCTGGGCGCGGATGGTATGATTGGATCGAAGTGTCGAGGAGCACAATGTCATGATCGCTGTTCCCTATCGAGGGCATAGGTTTACATCTCATCTTGAAGCTGGGGTGGGTGGTCAGGATCAGATCTAGTATCTTGTCTTTCCTGGTTGGAAAATCCACTAATTGTTCTAGGTTGGAGTCAGCTATCATATCTAGGAAGTGTTTGCTGGTGCTCTGTGGGTACTGGGATCCAGATATGTCAAGAGATTTCCAGTCTATGTCTGGTAAATTGAAGTCGCCCCCAATAATAAATATGTTGTTCTTCGATTTGGACTTCAAAGTGCTAATCTCTTCTGTTGATTTTGAGAGGTATTCAGAATCAGTCCTGTTTGGTGGTCTGTAGTAGGTTGCTATTGTGATGTTTTTGGACCCTGACTTGATGGTGCCACTAACCAGTTCTGTGTTACTGCTCGTGTAGATGTCGTGTAGCAGGAGATGGTGTTTTGCCGCTATAAGGACTCCACCATGGGGGTTTTCAGGTCTGTCTTTCCGCTGTATCTCATCCATCCAAAAAAAAAATAATAACATTTTAACTTGTGAAGAAAATTTTATTACTGAGAAACATACAAATGAACTGACAGCAACATTATTATATTCCTTGAATAAACTGTACTCTAATATCTATGACTAACAGCAAATAGAGATTTAAACAGTATTTACATTGGATTAACACACATTATGGCAGACTCTTCAGATTCTGAAATAGAATTTTGTCAGAATATTAACAACAGAGCTTTGAATGGTGAAAGGCAGGGTGATGAAGCGCCACATCTTCATACTGAAACTGAAAGAGCTGATTCTCAATTGGAGGAGAATGACACAAATGATGAAAAGCCGCTTGCAGGTCAGGACCGAAGTCCCCCTTCAAGGGGTAGACCATCAAAGTGGACGAAACACTATGACAGTCATAATGGACTTTCCAGGAAAATATTGCTAAGAGGACCAAAAAAACATTAAACTTAAATCATTTAGTGGAGATGAAAATTTTGAAGAATTCATAGATCATTTTGAAATAAATGCTGAATTAGGATGCTGGGACTTACATAGCATGAATTTAGCCTTAAGGTCCTGTCTGACGGGAAGAGCCCAAGTTTTTATTTCAAGACTTCCTACTGACATTAAATCAAGCTATCGCAGCCTGGTTGAGGCCTTGCGAAATAGATTTACTAACATGTATGATCAACCAGTGTGGGTATCTTCTCTGAAAGCAAGAAAAATAGGTCCAACAGAATCTATTGCGTCCTTTGCAGATGCTCTCTCCGAACTTGCACGCAAAACATATTCTGATCTGAGCTACAATGCACAGAAGCGAATGGCTTTAGATCAATTGTATAATCATCTGTGTCATGAGCTTCAGTTTAAGTGCATCGAAAAAAAACTGAAGTACTATAGATCATGCTGTCAGCATTATACAAACATATGAAGGTGTCTTGGGTTACAAGTAGCAAAACTCACATTCCTAGGGCAAGTAGCAAAATTCACATTCCTAGGGCATCTGTAATTGACCAAGACTTTTATTGAAAAATGTGAAAACAACTGATATAAAAAAATCAGAGACTTAATATTTTAGATAGTAATATCCCACAATGGACAGGTATACATTCAGATAATTGTTCTGCTTGTCAAGTTATTGTATCCGAAAAAGTAAACATTCCAGTACAAACATCAATGTGGGTTATGGTAAAGGTACAAAACAAAAAACTTTATGTTGCCAGTTTTATTTTTTTAAATCTAATTACAAAGAAAATTCTCTTCAAATAGTAGATAGTGTTGCGTTAAAGGACTCGTAATGCACTCAAGTGAATCGAACAAACTATATAGACCATCATGTGGTAATCAAACAAAATAGTGACGTTCGAACTTGCACTTCAATAGGTGACCTATATATATTTTTAGAATTGAAAAAGTAAGCATGGTAGCCTGTGAACCTAATACATGCATATCTCAGATGGGCACAACAAAAGAAAGAATACCTATTATGCTAAAAGTGTATTAAGAATGACCATAGATAACATCACCTTTCACGGATGATAAAATTAATTTTTGAGGAGTGGAAAGCGGGACACGGTAATGCTGGCCTGATCATCCAGGCGATTACGATGAAGATGACAATTGTGACTTCATTAGGATGATGTCACGTGTGTTAATGGCCATGAGAGTCTGGTCTTAACGTGTGTGATTCTATAAATATGAAGCTGCTGTTATTCTATGGGAAACTTAATGACTGGTAGACATTGGGTTAGAAAAACAGTACCCAGAATAAGGAGACTATCTGTTCAATGCTTTAAAAATGGACTAGGAGATATGTAGTATTCAATCTAAAGTTATTGTGGGATGTATGAATGTATGGTTGTATGTTATAAATATACATATTAATTGCGTCCAAACAAACCGCTACCACGCGAGTATCATCCATCTAGGTTACTATTTGAAACATCTTTGAAGCTTAAAGAAATAGTCAAAACTTGGTAAGACACATACATGTATCAGCTTGAAGCAGCATCACACTCTAAAGAATTGGAAGATACATGTATTGAATGTTTAAATCCACATTTGAATAAAAACCTTGACATTTTGACGTCTAATTGATGACCTTAAGTATCAAGACAAAATAATTAAGCATGACATAAAAACTACAATAAGACTGAAGACATTTACATTTTCTGATTAAATAAACTTTTAATATATAATTTATATACATAAAGTAATAATAATTACATAATAGCAGAAGTTTTAACTAAATGTGAAATAAATCATAAATATTTTGTGGTTTAGTACCTATTTCGGACAGTATAAAAAGTTCAGGGAATATCAGTCTTAAAGACTTAGGGAGGGGGTGTGTAAGGATCTGACATTCTAGCATTATACTGAAAGGTACTTACAACAGAAATGAAATGATGAAATCCAAGTGACATTGTGAAATCCTATAGCTCCATATGTTGTTGAACCCGCCTCCGCCGTGGTCGAGGGGTTAGAGTCGATGACTTCTAATCCAGTTACCTCTCTGGCGTGGGTTCGATCCCCGGGAGATGCTTTGGTAGTTTAGCGCGGAGGAAGGTAGTCTAGTACTGGTGTAACTCTCCAGGCACGATGGTTAGGAAACTGCCCGCCTATATGACTGAACTACTGTTGGAAAAAGGCGTAAAATGAAACAAACAAACAAACAAACAAAATATATTGTTGACTTCTACAAGATAAAGATTCACTAACCTGATTGATCTGAAGGAACACTGTATTAACACTTATCGACTTTGCAATTTAAACTGATAGAAATGTTAAACTTACCTTATTTTATAGCAGAAAACTGATTTTCTCTTTACATTTTCTGTGTAGCAGACGTCCAATGACAGACATCTTTGAAATCTGTCACTTTATATTTTATATTGAAGATTTCTTATTTTATATCAATTTCAGTCAAATTCAATTCAAGAACGTAATTTATGTAAAGTTTATGATTGATTAAGGTCAGAAATCCTTAAGTATTCACTACATGTTTTTGTATATTAACGATTTTCGGATGCAGATTTTATATGAGATTTCAATATGGGCCGCCATTTGAATTCCAAGATTTCAGATTCAGAAATCCGGCTGTCTGTCCATTGGAGGATTTCCGGATTTCTGTTGTTTCATTGGTGGATTTCAAACATCGAACCTTATAAAAGGCGGAATCCAACCAATGTTGTCACTTCGGTCTTGACCCCCTCCAAGTTATGTAAATAAAGTTGGTAAAACCGCCAACGTTAAAATCCAGTAAAACATCTTACAAAACGTTATTGTTATCCAAACTTGTAAGCTGGTATGTATTTATATCCAGTATTATTAACTCACTAGACACTGCTATTGCCGAAATACTTGTTATAAACTTAGAAAACTGTATAAGAATTGTATTTATTTTCCCAATCCTGACATACGCTTACAAATTCCTGAGTAGCACTCAAACGGAAAAATGAAAAAAAAAACGGCTCAGTTGGATCCACCCCCAACATACGTAGTGATTAGCTTGATCTGATGTTTCCTTTTTCTCAAATTGTGAGGTTAAACACTGTAAATGGGAATATTTTGCATTATCACAATTAATTAGCTTTCATGGTTTCATTTTTTGCCTTTTTTATTTTATTGTTTTGTAATAAATACACGTTAGATTCTAAATTTATATTAACGCTAATACTTCCGTATGTTTAAGAAACTTTATCTTAAAGTGGTGGCGTATGTATACTTCAATATTAAACTATGCACCTTAGATAAAGAAATATATACATACGTAAAAACAATATCTTTTTTGAACAAGATGAAACCTGCGTGTGAGATAAGAGACATAATTTGAATAAGAACGAAATATGTCCATATAAGCCATATGAATTGATCTTAATTTGAACAAAATACGGATACGAATTTATGCATTGCATTCTCGCCTTTGTTACTGAGCAAAACAGTAATTATTTAAATGACAACACGTGGTAATTCCAAAAACATGTTGAGCTGTTTAAATGTTATAGCTAGAAAGAGTACGATGGGGCGTAGTCCCGAGTATAAATAAGATTGCCGAGTGTTTTTATATTCTTTCTTTTTTGTATCATAGGGAAAACTAAAATCACGTTCCCAGTTGTCAAAATATGACCCCCCCCCCCCCAAAAAAAAAAAAAAAAAAAAAATAGTAACCAATGAACGAGCATCAGAATATCAAATTTTTATCGTTATCCCTTTAATGCTTTCTGGTCACAATAAGTAAAACCCATAAAATGAGCCAACCAATGGGCATGCTCTGGAGTGCGGGTAACTACATTGTAACTACCAGTTAACGCACTTAGCTAGCATGTATATGTATGTGTATAGGAAGGTCCCCAAACTATGATACAAGAAATAACATGACGAATTAAACTAGAGACGAAGATGGAAGTGCATGTCAACCTCAATTACAAATAAAATCGATAAAAGAAAAAAACTTACTTAATTTAGGCAGCAATAAATATATTCCTTTTGTAAAAACACGCAAACGTTTACGTCGCCATTTAATCAGTATTTCTGTGAAACTGTCGTCTGTTATATGGAAAAATAATGCGTAATATACTTCCTTGTATGTGTACTAGTACATTATAAGGGAGATCATTATTACTATTTACTTATAAATTACGATTTATTACTAATCCAAATGTGTCGCATACCAACACATGCACATTTGTTTGTTCGCTCTTAAATGTGCGGCGTCCGTTTCTGGGTGGTTAATGTCTTTGACTTTAAATCATTTGCCCCTCACCGCTCTCGGTTCATCCGTGTTTGATGTTTTTAAATGTTCAAACCGCTTGCCCCTCACTGCTGCCGGTTCGAATCCCGTCAGGGACTTCGAATGTAGCTTTCCGAGATCTTCATCCACCAGTAAAGCTGGAAAGTCGCCATATGGCATTTGTGCGATGCTAAACCAAACCCAGTTATACTTTCAGAATAATATTTTCAGGAAAACAACATAAAAAGTATTAGTGCAATGCTTGTGAAACTTACTGGGGCGTTGGCATCTGCGTCGTCGGACAAGACAAGACAACACGTCTCATAGATTTACAAGCAGTGCAACAAATATCAAGGATCCTATGAAAAACTGGACCTTCAAGCTAGCTGTATGCATTTTGAATGTTCGTATATATACTTAACATAGCAATATACATGTATAGGTACTTATCGCACAAGGCATATGGCGGTGGTTCATGACACACTTTCTTGTTTGTGAAGTAACGGTGGTGTATTCACAAAACAGCTAAGGGAACGCAACATCTTATATATTATGGCAATCATGGTATTCTTGAATTTTAAACATTGGTTCAAAACATTTGACTTTGTTAAGCCAACACTATACATATACTAGTACCTTATGTATGGCTGGTTTTGATCAATATTGGTTTCAAGTCAATAGGAGGATTTTTTATTAAGCCTCAAAAATGCAATTATTTTTATTTTTTAAAAACTTTATATTTTTTCTTGTATTTATTTCTGAAAAAGTACTCATTTGCCATTTAGCTGAGCTAAGTACACTTATTTTATATGGAAGTCATAATATCTCTTTGTTTATGCTTTGCCACCTTTATGGCAAAATATTTCACCTTCAGCGCTATATACTTCCGGTGATAAGCATCTTGTATGTTTTAAATTCACTATTAAAACATTACTAAGCACACGTGTGTCCCTTCTGAAGAAAACACATTAATTTGTTTTTCAGGCATAATATGTCATTAAAGGTGTTGAGCACTGAAAAAAAACAAAACAAGAACGTCAATATTACCAATTCATATAATCATCTTAATGTTCACATCGACATCTAATGGTATTTAAATATCGGATTTCAGCAGATTTAACAGATTCACTGAAAATACCCTTTCGAACCGTATACAGGTTCTTGCAACATTTCTTATTATGTTTGTCAGTCAGTAATTGTGACATAATTATTCCCCATCAAACAGATGCAATGTATTGAGGAGAAAGACATGTTTTAAAGGGGTCTGGGACTACTGCCTTCAAAGGAATGCGTATGACACATTACTTGAATGAAGATATTTGCGACATTTTTGCTATTTCATGCAGTGAAAATGTTTTTTGTTGTTTTTTTTTTTTCGTTTATGTGGCGTGCCAAAACATTCAATCTGAATTGAACTTATGTTTTGAATTTTCTCATCCATTACGTTATCATTGTAATACATGCATGTGACTAAAAAGTCAGGTAATTTCAAATCAGTTCAAATGCATTTCCATCCTGATAAGATGACAAATAGGGCACCAATTTCATACAGAGACAAACTACAAATAATTCTCAATGTTACTGTAATACTATTATTTAGACGTTGATAAAACAGCTTTGTATAATAGAATATAGCAGTATACTACAAGTAATAGAAAGAGCATCCAAAACGAGGCTATCTGATTTGTACAAGGTGGCATATTCCCGTGTATAAATCAGATTGCCAACAAAAGTTCCATGTTGTCACAACATGAAACCCCAGAAAAAGTAACCGATGAACGAGCATCTAAATATGATATTTCTGTCGTAATCCTCTGTCACAATAAGTAAACCCCAGACAAAATGAACCATTCAATGGGTATGCTCTGGAACGCGGGTAACTAATACCTGCACTCCAGTTAAGGCATTGTGCATGTATATGATGTAGACGATTTAACTCAGGCACATTTTCGACAGAAAAGTCCCCAAACTATGATACCATACTTATATATGATATTTAATTGAGCTTTTATATCTTTATAAATATGCAGCATAAACTTAATTACAACTTTAAAATAATTTCGCTTAAATGAAAAAAAAGACTTTCTCATTAGAGCAATAAAAACATAATCAGTCACTACTCATGAGAGACAACAAGTACAATAATGATTCTCATGACACTTTTATATAACAAAATTATCAGTCCAATTCCTCATAAAATAAAAGGACATAGCACGCACTCAAAAAAAAAACTATGGACATAGCACGCACTCAAAAAAAAAAAACTATGAATAACTCTAGTTTCCGGATACAGCACAGGACAAATCTTATAAATCATTTTAATATGGATTTTATGTGCATTTACTTAAGTCTAGTGTAGTACAAAAATATAATAATGAAAACATATACAAACAAAATGTTTATGCTTGCTGGTTTCTTATAAGAAAAATTTCTGTCATTTAAATACACATGAATTATACAAGAAAAGAGAATAAAAGTTTCCCTAACAAAAATTTCAACTGCTCTTTTAGTAGTTTTGTCAAAAATAATGTCTTGTTTTAAGAACTTTGCGGTTACTCTTATCAAGATACAAGTGAATTTTTTACCAGTACCATTTTTACAATAACTGTTGCATCATCTACTAATGATACAACATATTACGAAATTCATTTTGATAGCACAAAATTTAACCATGATTACAACAAGATAATTCTTATTTCACGAACCTTTCCATTTGTAGGTTACAATAATATCTTTTCTCACATTTTCTGTTCATCAATCACGCTGTTTGTATTTTTCCAGTTTGTAGAAACTTTTGAAACAGTATGCAAAAACATTTAAAACAACAAACCCATAAGCAAGATCCAGAAAATAGCCAAATTACACTTACATACACTAACAATCACCAACAGTAACACATTCAAATAACTACTTGTAGGCAGTCCATATCGCCTACATTGCATAAGCTTCCATACATAATGCCAAAGTGTATTCTAAAAAAAATATTAGCAAGTATTAAGTACTAGTATCTGCTGTGACTTCACTACTGCAAGAAATCAAAAGTTGCTTTTGTTACTTTGTTAGTTTTTTCTTCTTCACCCTCAACTATTATTTCAGTTCCACCAAAAATCAGTTTCACAAAGACGCCTCGATCTTTCCCGCCAGAAAGATCCGGAACTTCAACTTCCAACTGACCTAAATAAGAGCAGTCTACATCCGTGACATATTGAGGATCTTCTTCAGTAGATGTGTATAAATCAAAGACCAGCGTCATTTGATCTGCTTCTAGTGGCGTGTATCTTTGTTTTGATTGCACCTCACCAACAACTAACTCTTGACCTTTCTGTACGTGACAAGCAAAGACATCCTTGCATTTAACACGTTTTCCAACTTGAACCTTTTTGTTGTCCGGATGTACACCAGCTTTAAAATCACGATACACTCGGATGCCATACGAACATTTTGCAACACGTGATACTATTGTTATTGGATTATGGCCAAACAAAACAGCGCCCTTCAGCACAGCAAGTCCTGCCTCCTCCGGGACAATAAGTCTTTTATCTTGAAAATTCACCCTTAGAGAGTCTTGCATCATAGGTGATTCAGAAAAACCACCAACTAAAAGAATCGTTTCAACACCTTTGCTAGCTTTATTTTTAAACAATTCTTTGACATGTTTAACAGTCTGATTACAAGATTCATCATACCAAGATTTCATAACAGAAGAATCAACTCTAAGCTTGCCTGCAGTATATGTCACCTTTCCTTGAAAATCTGTATTATTTTTAACAGCGTCGGCGGCTTTTTTCTTTGTCATAGTTTCAAACACTTCTGTAAGTCGGGCAGGTATTTTGATTGTTTCCTTGCCAGTTTTATCCATGCGTATATTTCGTTTCTTTGTTTCAAACTCTCTATGAAGGTCAATAAGATCCTCTGGGGCAGACTTTGAAAATTCCTCAAAAACTTTGTCACCTAGAAAGAACAATGATAGCTGAAGTCATATGTATAAGGAAATGTGAAACACACTAAGAACTGCGATAAGTACTTTAAATTGCTTCATGATTGCAATTGGATATTTGTTCAAGCCTATGTTTGTTTGTTTGTTTTGGGTTTTACGTCACATCGACACAGTATATCGCCGCGACGCTCCAGCTTTTTACTGGTGGAGGAAGACCTCAGGTGCCCTTCGTGCATTATTTCAAGCGTATGTAAACTAGCAAAGGTGCAAATTGTAAATACCATAATTCCAGTTTATATTTGTTTTCAGATATGAAAATTAAAATACAATAGTTTTCTCATTATGATTTTATTTTTTCCTCCGTAATATCTTGAAAACGATTTTTGTGGTTGAAATGTTTACTAGTAACACTAAGGAGAAAACAATATACATAAATCTATAACTTGCAACCACATGCCATTCCTTGTTTGTATTTTTTCATGAATAATGATTACATAACCACTTGTTAATACGAGGGTTGTTCGGGAAGTTCTGAGAATTGTTTTATGTGCAAAATATTACGTCTTAGAAACAAAAAATATAGGAGATATGACAAAATTCCCAGAACTTCCCGAACAACCCTCGTAGATGCGTATTTATAAAGAACATATTTATTACCAAATAGTTTCCCAAGGAAGCGTTCAAAAGCTTTATCCACACGAGTTCCACCCCATGCTCCACCACTAGCCCAATATAACTCTTTCAATTTGTCACGATCAACAACTTCGTGAATAGTTATATCAACAGTTCCACCTGTAATATAATATAATAAGTACATAGGGCATAAATCTATAAACTTAACAATATGCACAGTATGCACAGACTGTGTATTCTTTCTTTACACATGGCGTTACAAATAACTTTATTCCACACCAGTAAAAAATGTATATGTTGATTTCAGGAAAATCCATATCGCTTTCATAACTTGGATACAGAACGGTCGTGATAAAAAATTTTAATGACTGGACTGGAAAACAAAACCCCAACATTGAGAACAATATACATGTATGATATTGTATTAACTAATGTCTGAATTGGGATTTTGGTGATGTCATAGTTTAAGTGATATGAACTGTCTCAGGTAATGAAATTATCCCAACTTGGAGGATAAGAGTATGGAATGTTCTCTATGTTTTGGTTTTTATTGACGCAATAATACTGAATTGTCGCCCGACAATAACATTTTAAATTATTTCCTGAAACATGACAACTGTTTTTAGCTTTGAACATGGTTTTAAAATTAAGTCGGTTTAACCTCTTGAGATTAAATTGGGGGGGGATGTTGTTGACGTCAACAAGATTTGAGTTCTGCTGTAGCTAAGACTGGACTATCTTATCAAGTAACGGTTAATTTTCTTTTTACAAGTTATATGTTAAATATTGAAATATAATGCATATCTTACTGGAGGTCAGTGGAGGATAGTGAATATATGTAATTTAAATCCAAGTATTTCCTTAAAATTTACTCTAAATAAACTCTATTTTTCTGAGGAAGGGGATCGACTAGCGATACATTATTTGTGATGTGACAGCTGGGAGGAAGCAAACGTGAAATCAGGTGTAAGGAACGTCACTGGATGACAATTTGTTTATGAAGACATAATAAATATACGGAATTGGACGGTATTTAGTTAATGATGGAATGTAAAAATGTGGCTGATGACCTAAGTATACAAAGATGTACTTGTTATTGAAATATTTACTCAAGGAGTGAAGTGTCTTACTGATTTTTTTTTTTTGGGGTGGGGGGGGGGGTCTTGAGGGGTGAAGTGTCTTCAAAAATTTTAGGGGTGAACAATCGCGGGGTGAAGTGTCTTGTTCCCTGTATATTTACCTCCAACGTCCACAACCATATATCGTGTTCCTTTGCTGAATGGCGATATCTGAGAGGACTGCAAGTTTGTTTGCATCATCATTTTATCAACAGGTAAGTGCATACAAAATAACGAGGCAGCTTCTGGTTCCAACGCTATCATCAAGTTCTGGGGCTTAATCCCGGCCTGCATAAAATAATAAAAAGAATCACAATAGTTTCAGCAATTCACTAGCTCCTTTATATAAGACAGTTATGGATTAGTTGTAATACTTTAGAGTGATCATTAAAGACTACAGCTTATTACAAATAATTTCTATTCAAGTAGTTCTAAGAAATTCTGGAAATATAAAGGGGATTTCTTCGAAAATAAAGAAAGCGAAAATATAAAGGCGAGAGGCGTGGCATCAATATACAATCTTCAATACTTAAAAGTAACTGACCATGAATAATAATGATAAACAAACGAACAAATTCTATCATTTCCATGCTAAAATAAACTTGTTTTAATAAATTTGGCACTGCAATGTGTGCGTATCTGATCAAATTAGTACCTATAGGAATCTACCACATTGAATTGGGGAATTACTTTCCTGACACTGTTTAAAAAGATTTTCTTTCTTTTAAATTTAGCATATTATAATAGTTGACCTGTTATAAGGGACGGTACTCTTTATAAACGTCTCGGTCCTTTAAACTTTAAGTAAATTTAATATGCTGTTCACTCTATAAATACACGTAATTTTAACTGAGTATGGGAGCAATCCCATCTTATCCCTATCACGGGTTACGTACTCCTATACGAACTTGTGATAGGAATTATGGCAGACACGTAAACACATGTACCGATAAAACTATAGTTTAATTAACACTATAGTTCCCACATAAATACATTATGTTTTAAATGAAGTATATGCTCGCCCATATGGTTCATTCCGGTTGGCGAGGGTAAACAAACCAAACACACAACATGGTGTGTATCTAATTGATCTAACATCTAAGAACACTCGATAATCATTTAATTTATTAAATCATGAAAGAATATGTCATGTTTAAGTACTACCTACCAACACAACTAGCAATCAAAAAACAAAAACAAAACATCATATACCTTTTCCGCTGCCTCTCTCATAAACTGTTTGGAACCATCGTTCCAAATGGCCGGTACAGTAAGAACCCATTGTATATCATTATCCGCAATACCAGTAGCTCTAAAATACAAATTTTTTAATTTTATTTCAGAACTGTATCCGGAACAAATATGGCATAATTTTTGTTATCTATTTTTTTTATAGAAAGATATCCATTATCAATACATTATTAAACACATGTCTGATATTTATAACTTATAATATGTGACATAATGTGCCTTTAAGCTTACTTTAGTACTAAATGCAGTTAATGTACAGTCTCCAAAAAATGTAAACTGGATATTTTGTGCCCTGTATTATGATATTGTATGTATATTGAAGATGCTATATAAATGTTGAACGACTATGCACAAAATGTATACGTCAATAAGTTATCTATCTGTCTATAAAGATATCAGGCGCAATTTTGGGTTAAAAAAAACACAACAACAAAACACTGTTGTCACAGAGGTATAGTAACATCCCATGTCAGCTTCTTCTTTCGTGTAATTATGTAATGAAATTATAATTGTTGTTGTTTATATTCATAAAATTATATTCAGCATTAGACCAGAAGATAACAAATTTTTTTTTCACCTGTTATGTAAAGTTTGTAAAAGATGGTCTTTCAAGTATTTAATAGAGATTGCGAAAATAAGACTTGCTGGTAGACTATTTCCCTTAATATCTGCAATTGTTGTGTTTCTCTTTATATGCTGAAGAAAAAAAGAAACAAAAATAAATTAAAAGCTATTTGACTAGACAATTATTGTTGTGACTGGACCAGCATCGAAGAGAAACATTAAACAAACACTAGTTCCCCTTTTGATGCTGAAAAAGAACAAAAAATAAGTATAATCAGTTTGCCTAAAAAAAATTCTTGTGTTTCTAGTATCGAACAGAAATATTGAATTATCATGAGAACACAACTCTTTAAATTCCGACCCTTACCTTGTAAGCATAGTAAAGACATAAATTAACTTTAATATAAAAGCAATATATAAACAATGTTTCTTAAAGGATGCATCGTCCTATTATATATAAACCCTCCCCAAGCTAAATATCTTAAAAAGACTCGTCCGTCTTTCAATATGAACAAACCATTCATCATTTTTAGGGACAATTTTATTATCATGTACTGACTGAATAATGAACATTGCAGATATGATCAAACAGAATGTGCCGGCTGATCTTCGTCTGCAGTGGTCGCATGACTCAATTCTGTAGCCACAAGAATTCTAATAGGGAAATACGATTAAAATAACAATAATAATAATCGAAATAAACGAATAAATAATACTAATCGAAATAAACGAATAAACGAAATCTTGCTTGCCTATACAATCTAATGCCTACCATGTCTTGCGATAACAAGCATAATGCTGCCTTTCTTGGGAGCCTTTGAAATATACTTGTTTATATATTGTGTTTAAAAGGCTGTGCATATGACAAAATTGGGGGTGGGTGATGGTAATGATACGGTATTTTACGAAAGACCGGTGGTGATTTAAACTTCATAAATTCACGATTTAAACGTTAACATCACTAATTCACGATTTCACCTTCACAAATTAACGATTTCAACTTTACGAATTTCAACGTAACGAACTTCAACTTCGCGGATTGTGAATTCATAAAGTTTAAATCATGAATTCGTGAAGTTGAAATCGTGAATTCGTGAAGTTGAAATCGTGAATTCATGAAACTGAAATTGTGAATTCCGTATGTTGAGAAAAATGAATTTGTAAATTCACAAAGATGAAATCGGGAATCATGAAGTTGAAATGTCCCCATCGGTCTTTCGTAGTATTTATACATAGAATTCCTTTCAAATTTATGTACACAATTAGAGATGTTTAGAGCACATTTCCTTTTGTAAAACAAATGAAGTTGCAATTAAAATCACCTACTTACTGTATCATGTAATAACATTTTAAATCGTCTAAAATAGTAATACTCGTCATCCTCTGCATCCTCGGCAAGTTGGCTATATCTGTCCTCAGCCTCGTATCCAAACGCCTCGAATGTCTTGTCTTTCTTCTTTAGCAGCAAGATTGTGGGCGTTTTCAGTGACATGAGCGCTGCGGTACCGGCTACCCAGTTTGTATTGGCACTTATTTTTAACGGTTCCTTGTCGTAATCATGTCGGAAGGAGAACGCGTACCCAGAATATGTTGTACCGAAGTCTATAGCCGCTACAACAAGCTTGTCCGTTTTTGTTTTACCGCCGCCACCCTTAGTAGCCATACTAGTAAAATTTGATTAATGATTGCCCTGTAAATATAATAAATATGCTGATGACCAACGAATAAAATTAATATGCTGATAACCATAGAATAAAGTGAATATGCTGATAACCATAGAATAAAGTGAATATATCGATAACCATAGAATAAAGTTAATAGACCGGTAAACATAGAATAAAGTGAACAGACCAATATACATAGGGCAATGTGAATAGGCCGATAAACATATAGGCCGATACACATACTATATACATTTAGTACATAGTCTATGTGACATAGAATAAAGTGAATAGGTTGGTAAGCATGTAAAACCACATGTACTGAATTTAATATGATTTTAACCAAAAGAGTGCTTCCATCACACAAGTAATCCTGATCTATCCAAAATCCAAAAAGTATTTAGAACACAATCAGTCGGAGCAAACCGACGGGTTTGACATATCCACTTTAAAAAGCTACAGCCACCCCCCCCCCCCCCCCCCCACACACACACACACACAAATAGTTTGATTCTATTCACCTCATACATAAGTCATAACTTACTCCTCTACCTCGAGTCAAAATATTGTATTATTTATAGTATTGGCCACTGACACAGTGTCTCAGATTTAAAACATAAAATTATTTAGACTATGCATACATCATTTACTTCTAGATTCGACAATAATCTATACAATTTTGGTTTATAACCTTACGATCACCAAGATTAACAACTAGCCTATTGCAAGGCAAAGACATTTGTTGTCAAATTACCTAACCTACTTTTCCAATTTATGATATACAACGTAATTGCCCTACAAAAATAAGAAAATGGCTACATATTAAGGTTAACTATTTTTTTTTTATCTATTTTTATCAAATAAAGTACAGTAAGTGAACAAACTAAATAAAATGAATACACGTATCTACAAGCATTAGGGGAGAACAAGTTAAACACAATCTACGGGTATATTGTGGGATATTCCTTGAAAATCTAAATTATGACCAATAAAGGCACGAAGTCTATTTGTTTTAAAATGTATACATGTACAGCTACTTTTGTAGAAAAATAAACAATAAGCTCATCCTTTGTTTAAGAAATAAACCCGCGGGAGGGTAGTTTACTGGCGGGTGGGGGTAATTAATAGAACAGTACAATAGAACAGTACTATGTTGTACATGTACTACAAATTAGCACTTAGTCTTGTCTCTACAAAGATTTATTACAAAGATTAAATTTCCGTGAGTAATACAGCTACATATGTATTTATAAAGCAGGGAAGAGCCCACGTAAATGTTAGAACTTTAATTTGACCTAACCATTTTGTTAAATGTACACTTGCATGGTTATTTTTGTAAAAGCGTTTATTGTGTGTTTAAATATTCAATAAAATATTATTGAACATGACTAGGTATTAAACAAATTGTTTATACAAGTAAATGTCGCCAAAATTTATAATGAAATATAGATTACAACGGTTTATTTTTGTGTCGCATTTATTATAGCCAAACCGTGACATTTAATTTTTATCTTCCTTTAATTAACCCATTTCAAACACCATTCCAAATAATAATAAAGAAATGATCTAAGTTCTACGCATTAACAAGTAATCGTTTTACTTTCCATCGGATTACCAAAAAGACTACTGTTTGTTTATCACTATACCAGTAATACAGTCTACTGTATCTAAATAGATACTGAAAACGAAAGTAGAAAAATTATAATCGTGTCAACTTAATTTAAACTATCAAACTGCCATCTAAAATACACGTTATCGTCAAAATCTATTCAATATTATTTACCTGTGAGTTTAAACTATACAAAATCATAATGTGTGACCAGTAATTCATAAACAATTAGTTTCAAATTACATTACGTCGTGATAAGCCCTCTCAGATAATGTGTAACTTCCTGGGTTAAAGAACACCTGTTCAAATAATAATTTAGAACTCAAACTCAATAAATAATCTATATCTTTACCATCTTTATAAAATCTTAATAATTATGCCAATAATGTATCAATATTATAATAATCATAATTCTTACCGTTATCAAATAAATATGTTCCTGTGTTAGCATGTTTATGTAAATAAATAGTGTTGATAGTCAGGAGAGACAACTCTTCCTCTCTTGGTTAACCACAATCGGAATACTTCTAATACTTACCTAAGCTTTGTTAAAATCTTCCCTACGTTTTCTTTACATTGTCCCTTTCAAGTTTAATAAATGATGTCAATAACTGAAGTTATTTATCTAACAAACAAACTATAGCATACTGTTAATAGATTATACATGCTGTTATTTCTTTAGCAATGGCCTATTGGGGTAGAACAGTAGTAACTATACTATATAGCAGGTAAATCATTATATGTATGATGATTCTCACACGAACACACAAAAAATTGACCATACAGGCCTATTCTTTAAAAGCGCAATGTAACCTAAAATATAAACATAAATCCGCATGTGAGAGCAAACAACTTTGTGACAGTATATTTTATTTCATCAAAAAGCTTGTCTGGCGCATTCAAAGACATTGGATTATTTTCTTCCCATATCGATTAAACCAGGTGTGGCTCTGTTTCGGACTTTATTTAAATACAGTGGTTGAAATAATATTGTGTCCAATGATATCGTTCCATTTTTCAAATTCTGGTGTACAGTTTGTTTATTCAATCTGAAACAACTTGTCATTTAATAATATCCCGCGATCTGACTAAAGTTCAGATCTACTTAATTATTTCTTTCATGTAGAATAGCAGGCTGTTCGCTTACCAATCCTTTTACAAGTCGAGAAACTGATAGCGAACAGCATGGATCCTGATCAGACTGCGCGGATGCGCAGGCTGGTCTGGATCCATGCTGGTCGCAAACCCATTATGTTGGTTTTGTCGTGACTCGGCTCATTTCAAGAAATAAAAACAAACGAATAAAATGTCAAACATCAGCTGTAACCTCTATTCATCTAAAGGACTTAGTGTCATTTGTTTTATCGTCAATATATTATTTTATACATGTTCACTACTACACAAATCATTGTCATTTTGAAGTGGTTTCACGAATAGACATCCGGGTACTTGTCAATGTCCTACAACCTTTCCTAGGAAAAACCGCTAGATACAATAGTAAATTTGAAAGTCAAATTATGTTTAGATTTTTATCTTTAATTTTCCTCTTCTGGTATACATTTCTACGGAAGAGCATTAGTGCAACTCGAAATTTCCAGTTAATAAAAAACATACACCTGGCACTAATGCTCCTCCGTACGTTTCTATAAAATATATATTTATAAGCTATTAAATATGTTTATTTTGAAATACTTATCGGTAAATATTTAACAACGACGCTATCATTATAATTATTAATCAAGTAAATTAATTCATTTTATATAATAAGGCACTGTATCGCTATTATTGCTGGCCCGTGAACACCTTGATATGCAGTTATCCGAGATCAAAAATTATTATTTTTTCCATCTTTAGAAGAGTTCTGTAACGTTAAAGCCCCATTATGCCCCAGTCATACTTTTATTTTTATTTCTATAAAGCTTCCTGATAAATTTTCTAAAAGGTTATTCACTGGCCAATCACCTGAGCCATCGTTTCTGTCTGTTGCATTTTGGCAATTAGTAAAAGTATAGTGCTTTTATATTTTGTATGGAAGTCATAATACTACTTTGTTTATATTTTGCTACCTCTGTGACAAATTATTTCACATGCAGCGCTAATTCCTTCAGGCGATTAGCATTTAGATTGCTCTAAACCCGTTATTTATACTCAAATATCATTTCTTAAAAGTAGGAAAGAATTATTCATTTCTAAGGCATAATGTGCCTTTAAGTTAATGGTTATCGGGCAAGGTAGATGCATATCAGTTGAAAATGCTGAATGTGAAATCATTTGGCATAAAAGTAGCAAATTGTAAACAAAGTAGTATTCTGACTTCGATACAAAATACTAAACCACTATGAACGTACTAATTGCCAAAAAGCAACAGACGAAAAGGATGTTTTCTGGTAATTGGTTAATCAGTAACTTTTTGTAAACTATAACATACTAAAAAAAAGCTTTCGAAAAAAGATATAAAAACATTACATTACTGGGGCCCGGGCATAATGGGCCTTTAAAGTTTTTATCCCTTTTATAAAGGCTGTATCAATATGCACCTATCAATATTATGCCCGCCCGGGGGGGGGGGGGCGGCGGGCTGACCCAGGGGAATTTGACATCTTAAAATGTTTGAAGTCTAAATCCCCACCCTAGAGACAACCAATTTTGTCTAAATCCCCACCCTTGAGCCTGCTTGGTGCATCAAATGCCCCGGGGGTAGGGGAGAGGGTAAATATCTAATAGATCAATCAATAAATAAAACTGTTATCAGAAAAACAATGAAAAATATAAGTACAAAGGCTTATCATTAGGAAAATAATGAATCCAGATTAATGGGCCTCAGAAGTAAGGTAGGTATAGTCACTCCCAATGAGTATATATGTATCAATTGTAGTTTAATAACTTTGATAGTATTCAAATTATAATTAGACTTTGAAGATACTTATATTTTTTTATAAAAATGGGTATTTTCAAGTAATAAAGGGGTATAATTCTGAAAATAATGCATCATGGTTATAGGCCTTCTTAGTATGGTAGTGGTAGTCCCACTAAATACCGTACATAGTTTCATAGAATGTATGACTTAAACACGGACACACAATCGATCGTATAAGCTCTTTAATATTTTACATTTATAGTTTAGCTACAAAATAAACCTACTAACCTAGTTTCTGACTCCACATGACCCAGTTTCTGTAGGGATGGTAAGCATGCTGACCAAGCTTAATTATAATTGAACCATATCTGTGGCCACTTAGAGTGTTAAAACACTAAAAGTTGAGGACACCAGATTTGCGAAGGCAGACATTCACCGATCATGATCACAATAGCTTCGTGCTCACAGCTCAGATGAGCTAAAAACTTACAACATTTTAACTTCTTATTTTATTTTAACATTTAACACAAAAAGTCATTAAAAAAGACATTCTTCCTCCTCCTGCGGCCAAACCTGGACACTTCCACATTGTTTTTCTGAAATAGAGGGAATTTTTATAATCTTTAAGGTTTCAAATTTATTAAGTTTCATTTAAATTAGACCAAAAATGTTCTAAGATTTGACCTAGTGACTTAATTTTTGACCCCACATGACTTAATTTTGATCATGTTCTAGATTTCATAGAGTTGAACATTTTACACTAACTTTAATGAAAAATGGGCCAAAAATGTGGCCTCTAAAGTGTTTGCATTCTTTTTCTAAGATTTGACCTAGTGACATAGTCTTTGACCCCACATGACCCAACCTTGAATTTTGCCGAGATTTCAGCCAAACATTTTGACCAAGTTTCATGGAGAAACGACAATTATAGCTCAACACAAAGCTACAAAAAGAACTGACATAATTTTCTTAAGCTAAGTTGCATGGTGTACTCACAATCTGGTGCACTTTCCTCAAGAGCCTGGATAGGAGCAGGAGCCTGGATGGGAGCTTGAGTCGGGATATATAGGAGCTTGAACCTTGATAGGAGCTTGGGCCTGGATAGAAGCTTGAACCTGGATTGTTTAAAAATTAATAATTTAGTAGCACAACTTAACAAAGATTTCCAACATATATTTTTGATAGATAAAACAGTAGGTTGTTTTTAATTCTATTGGAACAAAAATGGTACTGAATTTTTTTTTTTTTGAAAACACATTATTTTCTAACAATTCTGCTGGTACTAAGTCTATCAAACTAATCTTGCAATTATGGTGGGGAATCACGTGATATGGAGACCACATGACATGGTATTGCAGCAATTGATAATCTTTCAGATTCTGGTGTCCATGTGAGAATTTTTGTCAATATCTTTGTTTAACAGAAAATATTTTGGAGTATGCGTAACTGACAGGACTTGCAGTAGCCCCCAGCGACATTATAAACAATATTGTGCTTTTTCAGGAGAATTTTAAGTTTAAAGGAACATAATGCTTTTGTGAGTAAAATTTCAATTACTGGATAAACATATCATACTTTATCCTCTTATTGAAGAAAATGGCTCATTCCGCATAACTATTCTTCAGAAATTATTTTTTCATCCAAACATACCTTCAATTATTACATTTGCGCTACATGAGCGCAAAATATTTATAGCGTATTTTGAAGATTTTCTTTCATGTCTTTAAGAAATCAAATGAAAATTTTTACATCAGAATTCTACTTGATGTAATTGGCGTGAAACTGAATACTCTTTTATTTCAAATAAAGTTTACTAATGCATAATGGGACTTTAAGATACCATGTTACGTCACAGGTCACCATATCAATGATTCCCCACCATGTCAATGATAAAATACACATATTTAGACCACAGAAGTGCAATACCCCTTTATGTTTTGTATGGCTTTCAGAAAAAAGAGTTTTTTTGGCCTCAGACTCATTTAATGTTGAGGCAATCATTTATGAAATTCAACTCATAATGTCATTGTGCCTGAATACCTTTTTCAAAGACCGTGTCTCGGACGCCTTTGCCTTGCCCCTTTTTCTGTTGGCAGAAACACTCGTCAAATGGTCCAACCAAATGTTCACCTGTTTAAATATAAATCAACATTTTAATACATTCACATTTATCAGATAAGAACAAAGCCTTAACATAGTTTCTGCAGATTCAATTTACTTTTTATTAGAGCAAGTCACGACCGTAAAGCAATACAAGACCAATGAAGATGAAACCGATAGCCACGATTCAAAGCCTCGTTATGACAAGCAGTTGAAACAGTAAATGATAAAAAACAATGATGGTAATACTAGTACATCTGAAAAAAGGATATTATTTTATTTAGATCTGTTTTGACATACATTGTATTTAAATGCATTTTCTTACTTTATTAAAAATCATATTCTAACAGAGACATAGATAACAGAGAGCTATGGCTTCTTCCTAGCCAGTTAAAATATCACGCGTGCCTGCTTAACTTAAAACTTGTAGCAAGTAAAACTTATTAACCAGATATCAAAATCAGTAAAATAATACATTTTCTGAAAACTTATGCATTTGTCTATTGCTGCAGCCTGCAGGTAAAATATTATATTAACAGTTCCCAGTAAAATAAATGTTACATCATTTTTTAAAGAGAACTTCTTGATATTTTTTGTTACAAAACTATTCATATGACAAAAAAAATGGCTCAGTGGGTATGTTCTGCCATGTTTTTCTAAGGGAAAGGCATGGAAAGTTACCAATATTTTAACATGCAGTCATAGATGAAATATTTACCTTTCAAAGAAAGGGTATATAATATTTAAGGATCAAATGTACATCCATTAAGTTTTATCTGCTACAAAATGCCTAATTTTTCACTTTTTGATAGAAATGAATGATATTTCAATGAAGTATATAAGAGCTGCTTATCTCTTTGTCTCTGATTCTAACAAGGCTCACGGGAACTACTGACTTGGAGTCCCGTGACTTCAGCCTTTGGATTTTGACTCCCTTACATGGATGTGCAAGCTGATCTGGATCTACACTGGTCGCATAGGTGTTAAAATAATTATAAAATGAATAATTAATAACATAATTCTGTGTGTATGTATTCAACATCCCTTTTCTGTCACTTGATCAGTTCATTCATACTGCAGTTATTGAGTTAAAGGGATTATCTCAATCGATACGACATTTTCTGCTGTAATCGTTTATATTCTACAGGCAAAGTGAACGTTCTTTTGTGGATTTTGTATTATTAATACGAGATATGTGTCAGTTTCATGTGATTTCCAACGCCTTTCAGACTCGCAAAATAAATGGGTCTATTCGCGAAAACAGATGACAAACATGAAAACCGCTAGGCTCCACATAGTGTCTGGGTAGAAAACAAATGAAGAATACAATCCCTGTATACCTTTGCAAATAAATCCCAATTCTGGGGCAACCTTCTCGCCTTATCCCACAATTTTCTCTACCGTAGAAAAAATCGAAAAGTTTCATGTCTGCAACTTCAAAAACACGAATAAAAATATCGCCGTCGTCTTTTGACCTTTCGCAGTTACTCCCCTTTTTTATTTTGTGGCGTCGAAATTCCCGAGTCCCGGGATTTAAAAACCGGCCAAAGTCTATTACCCGGGACCCGGATTCCATAAGTTTGTCAAATTCCCGCCTGTCAGGAATGGTCTTCTGTCTAAAGCCCCGTGTATGCCCGCCGCCCCCCCCCCCCGGTAGGGCAAAATATTGACAGGTGCAATACTGCCATTCAAACCGCTTTTCATTTGAAATTCAATGGGCTATTCGTAATTCGAAAGTAAATCAACAGAGAAGATTTTGTTCTTCGTATAATACAACGAACAAGTGTAAGGTTGAACAGGCCATCACCAGAGTATAAATTCTAAACACGTGAATAGTGTGTACTATTTCAAGTTTGACGAAATACAAATTTATGACAAACACTATGATTAACCTAAATTATCATTTTTTATAACTAAAGCTGCAGGAACAATTTGGGGTTCATCATCCAAACTACCCCATGCCTACGGACCTGGTGCATACAATTGATATAAAAATACCGCCCCTTATTCTCTTCACTATTAGATAAGTCTTCCCTTGGAACAAGTTAAAGATCGACGGACATTCTTCGAAAACGTTTTAGGTTAAACGTTCGGAACGCATACAAACTTATAATGATCAAATTTTTCCTTTGTTTTGAACAAAAGAATAAAGCATGTGATAGAGGATTGGAATAAAAAAAGGGTACTTTCACTTAAAACACTTTTATTAGAATATTGCAATCAAATTTATACGTTTCATGCATTACCAATAATAAAAAGAGTTATCACTGCAATAGCAATCGGTTTACAATGTTATAGACATTAAAAGTTTTTTTCTTCCAAATCATATATATTCTATACATGTAATTCATTATACAGACAAAATTGTGTAGACCTACATATTCTCTAAATCATAATCAAGGAATGGAATCACTGGATTGGCCTTCATCCTGCAAGAAATCAAAAGTAGCTTTTGTAACTTTCCCACTCTTTTCATCTTTGGCTTCAACTACGATTTCGGTTCCTCCAAATATCATCTGCACCCAGACACCCCGTTCTTTCCCGCCAGAAAGATCTGGAACCTCGACTTCAAGTTGACCTACATTTATACATCCGGTGTCTGTGACGTACTTGGGATCTTCATCCGGTGCTGTGTAAATATCAAAAATCAATGACATTTGGTCTGCTTCTAAGGGTGTGTACCGTTGATTTGATTGTGCTTCTCCAACAACTAACTCTTGACCTTTTTTGACATGACTTGCAAATACATCTTTACATTTAACTTTTCCTGCAACAGTTAGTTTCTTGTCATTTGGATGAACGCCATCTTGGAAATCTCGATAAACTCTAACACCGTAAGAAAACTTTGCTACCCTAGAAACTATTGTGACAGGATTATGACCGAAAATGACAGCTCCTTTGAGAACAACAAGGCCAGCATCATCAGGTATGATCAACCTCTTGCCTTTAAAATTCTTCCTCATTGCATCCTGGAGCATCGGTGATTCAGAAAAACCACCGACAAGCAAAATCGTTTTTACATCCTTGGCATTTTTATGCTCAAACAATTGTTTCACATGCTCGACAGTTTTCTTGGTAGACAGATCAAACCATGATCTCATGATATCAGCATCCACTCTTAATTTATCGCCAATTATTTTAACTTTGTCCTGAAATTCCTTTATTTTCTCTACATGGTCCTTCAACTTTTTACGTCTGACATCTTCAAACGTATCCACTAACGCTATTGGTATCTTCATGGTTTCCATCCCTGTTTTCCCCAAGATAATATTTCTCTTCTTCGTCTCAAATTCTCTATATAAATGTACCAAATCTTCCTTACAATCCTGTTCAAACTTCTCATAAACATCTTTTTCTGGATAAACAAAGCAAATGTGTCAATGCATACATACTTAACAATTCCTAAATCAATATATCAGAAAACGTGACTAGATTAATATTAATGGAAGTATAGCAAATAGATTAAAAACTGTTTTAGATATTTTAGTGTCAAAAGATCAAACTGGATTTGTTAAGAATAGATATATTGGTGAAAATACTAGATTATTATATGATATAATGAAATTTACTGAAGATAATAATATGCCAGGTTTAATTATGATGATAGATTTTGAAAAAGCTTTTGATACTCTGTCTTTTACATTTATTGAGAAATGTCTTTCGTTATTCTGTTTTGGTCCTATGTTTAGGAAGTGGATATCTCTGTTTTTATATAATACTGAAACTTGTGTCATATTAAATGGTTTTTTATCCAATTTTTTTAAAGTTAGACGAGGTTGTAGGCAAGGCGATCCAATTTCACCGTATATTTTCATTTTATGTGCAGAGATATTAGCAGTAAAAATAAGACACTGTAAGGATGTTAAAGGCATAATTATAGATGGGGAAGAATATAAAATTAATCAATTTGCAGATGATACATCACTTCTATTAGATGGTTCAGAAAAATCTCTAAATACTGCTTTAAAGATATTAAGTAAGTTTACAGAAATTTCTGGATTAAAGATAAATTTTGACAAAACTAAGGTTATTTGGATAGGCTCTCTTAAATATAGTACTAGGTCAATTAAGACAAGATGGAAATTAACTTGGGGTGATACTCAGTTCAAATTGTTAGGTTTAATATTTGATGTTGATTTAGAAAAAATGATTGACTTAAATTTTAATGAAAAACTTCAAAAAGTAAAAAATAGTATCATTCACTGGAAAAAGAGAATATTAACTCCAATAGGAAAAATTGCTGTTATTAAGTCAATATTGCTTCCTTTATTTACTCATTGTTTCACAAGCCTACCAACACCAAATACTGTATTTTTGAAAACACTTAATGACTTATTTTATGATTTCATTTGGGAAGGCAAGGCAAAAATAAAACAATCAGTACTTATTAAAACATACATAGAAGGTGGTTTAAACATGGTTGATATTTATAGTTATATACATAGTTTAAAGATACAAGAGCC